TGTTTGACAGTGTTTCTAAAACTGTTATTTTCCACTTCTACATGTTCCACAGTTACGTTAGTGAGATGACGCACAGCAGGTCAACCACCGCAAAATGTTACTTATTAAACTGTCACGAGTTGTGGCCACGCTGAGCTGTCTGCCGTGGCTGCGCTTGTTTATGATAAAACAAATTTTGCTGTTAAACGGGGCAAGTTGAAAACAGCTTAAGTTAGGCAAAACACAGAATTATGCCTTACATGTTAACATAAGCTGGTAAAATGAAAAGTTGTGGGAAAGCAGCAGCAAAACCGAGACGACCACACGTGTTTATAAGGAACTAACATTATTACAGCTAACGGGGTTAGCCTAGCTTTACTTACCGAGCTTGGTCCCTGGGTTCCTGTCCGACATGGTAAAGGACAGATTATTTATTCATGAGCGGAAACTGAAATTAAAGTCAGTAGCAACCGCTAGCCAAACATGTCAAGTCAACACCATTCAGTCTATGGTCAGCACCGGGGGAGGGGGGTGGGGGTGTTCTTCTTCTTGTCTGGGTTTTATGGCGGATCGCAACCAACTTGTTCAGGTGCATACCGCCACCTACTGTACCGGAGTGTGTAATATCAAGGTTTTAGTACTTCAGGTTCAGTGTATTCAAAAGGTAAATAAATAAATACAAAACAAAACAAAACAAACAAAAAAAAGACTATATGTTGTGGTCTAATCCAGTAGATTTGAGAAAATTAAAGAGAGCTTTGCGGCACTCCCTTGTTTCCTCACTCATCCTTCTAAATTCCATCCCCGTCTAAATTCATATATCATCATATAAGATGTTCCTCTCAGAATCATATTTACTACACTTCATGATGACATGCTCCACATTTTCAGGAACGTTACAAACCTCACATTTATCAGACACACATTTTGCCATTAAATAAACCGTTGATTTTAACCCAGTATGGCCAAGCCTTAATCTTGAAAAAACACTTCATCTCTTCTACATTTCCCTTTGAAACCCTTCACCTTAATTTATTTCTGTATGCTGTAATAGTGTCTCCCTTTAGTGTCTGTGTCCCACTTCTTCTGCCTTACGTCATTCACTGCTTTTCTAATTAATGATTTGGCCTCTCCTTTTCCAAAGAGAACTTTCATTATTTCATCATCTTTTAATTTCAACGCTGTCTTTGCAATCTCGTCTGCTTTCTCATTCCCATCAACACCAACATGAAAAGGGACCCAAACAAATTGCACATCGACTCCAGCTCTTTGTATTCTCAGCATTATTGTACATATTCCAATCAACAGATCATCTCTCGTTTTGGAATTCAAACTATACAGGGCTGCAGTGGAGTCTGAACAAATGTCAACTCTCTCAGGCCTCACCTCTTCTATCCACTGTAACCCTAAAATAATAGCAACCATTTCTGCTATATATACAGATAATTTATCATTAATTCTTTTACATATAACTACATCAAACTCAGGTATGTATGCTCCTGCTCCTACATGTTCACTCCCTGGATCTTTTGATCCGTCAGTAAATAATACCATTTAGTTATAATAATTCCTCTTCACAAATATCCAATATTATCCACATTACTTTCACTCCATTCTTTCTTCTTCTCTAGAAGCTTCAAGTCCATATTGGGCACAGGAAATATCCACGGAGGAACATTACCCCATACAGTAGCTGGTGCCTAGTCTATGCTATTTAATCTGTATTCTTCTGCTACTGCATTAATATTCCAGCCAAATCCTTTACCTTTCCGTTGTTGTGTATATTCCCAACAGTCACACGGAACCTTTGTTGCAGGTTGTTCCTCTCCAGATCCTTTTAACTTGACCCAATATGCTAAAGACAACTTAGAACATCTCAAATATAATGGCAATTCAGTCTCTAGCCAGTTCTGTCTAGCCTGGCCGGGTCCCCATCAGCCTCTACCTGCTCTGCCTTATCTGTTGCTATGTTCAACTATGTCTCAGTAAGTGAAGAAAAATACACAGAGCTTCAGGATTGTACAGAAGGGGTCGTATCCGGGCAACACAAGATTGTCCCCAGCAACACAGCACACCCAGTCCCTGTTCTGTGTGACACTGGCCAGCCACCGTACCTCACGTCTCCTTCTTTCCGTCATGTTAGCAGTATATTACACTACGTTTGATTGTAAAAATGATTTAAAATTACTTTATGAAATGTTATCTTACTAGTCTTCTGTGTTATTTGTCTGTATTTTTTTTAAATGCTGCTGCCTGTCTTGGCCAGGTCACCCTTGCAAAAGAGGTTCTTAATCTCAATGGGACTCTCCTGGTTAAATAAATAAAAAATGAGCTCTTTCAGATATGATGGTGCCTGACCTGTAAGGGCTCTGTAAGAGGAACGATTTTAAATTCTATTCTCGATTTTACAGGGAGCCACTGCAGAATAGCTACAACATGACAAATATGATCTCATTTCCTTTTGTTTTTTGTCAGCACACTTTCTGCAGCATTCCAGATCACCCGGAGAGTCTTAAGTGACTTATTTAAGCAGCCTGATAATAAAGAATTGCAGCCTAGATGTAACAAATGCATGGACTAGTTTTTCTGTATCAATTTAAGACAGGATGTTCCTGATTTTTTGAATATTACAAAGGTGAAAAAAGGCGGTCCTTCAAATTTGCTTAATGTGGGAGTTAAAGGACATGTCCTGATCAATGATAACAGAGATTCCTCACAGTGGTGCTGGAGGCCAGGGCGATGCCATGCAGAGTAACTATATCTTTAGATAATGCGTCACAGAGGTGTTTGGAGAGAAGTACAATAACTTCAGTTTTGTCTGAGTTTAACAACAGAAAATTGCAGGTCATTCAGGTTTTTACGTCCTGAAGGCTTGAAGTTTAACCGATTTGTTTCATCTGTTTTGATCGAATCACATATACAGGTGCATCTCAGAAAATTTGAATATCGTGAAAAAGTTCATTTATTTCAGTACTTCAAATTTTGATGATTATGGCTTACAGCTTATGAAAACCCCAAATTCAAAATCTCAGAAAATTAGAATATTGTGAAAAGGTTCAGTATTGTAGGCTCAAAGTGTCACGCTCTAATCGGCTAATTAATCCAAAATACCTGCAAAGGGTTCCTGAGCCTTTAATTGGTCTCTCAGTCTGGTTCAGTGGAATTCAATCCTCAAAAGGTAATTGCAAAAGACGTTGGATGTTCTCAAAGTGCTGTATCAAGGCACATGAATAGGAAGTTAAGTGGAAGGGGAAAGTGTGGAAGAAAAAGGTGCACAAGCAGCAGGGATGACCGTAGCCTGGAGAGGATTGTCAGGAAAAGGCCATTCAAATGTGTGGGGGAGCTTCACAAGGAGTGGACTGAGGCTGGAGTTACTGCATCAAGAGCCACCACACACAGACGGGTCCTGGACATGGGCTTCAAATGTCGTATTCCTCTTGTCAAGCCGCTCCTGAACAACAACCAGCATCAGAAGCGTCTTACCTGGGCTAAAGAAAAAAAGAACTGGTCTGTTTCTCAGTGGTCCAAAGTCCTCTTTTCTGATGAGAGCAAATTTTGCATCTCATTTGGAAACCAAGGTGCCAGAGTCTGGAGGAAGAATGGAGAGGCACACAATCCAAGATGCTTGAAGTCCAGTGTGACGTTTCCACAGTCTGTGTTGGTTTGGGGGGCCATGTCATCTGCTGGTTTTGGTCCACTGTGCTTTATTAAGTCCAGAGTCAGCGCAGCCGTCTACCAGGACATTTCAGAGCACTTTATGCTTCCTTCAGCAGACGAGCTTTATGGAGATGCTGACTTCATTTTCCAGCAGGACTTGGCACCTGCCCACACTGCCAAAAGTACCAAAACCTGGTTCAGTGACCATGGGATTACTGTGCTTGACTGGCCAGCAAACTGGCCTGACCTGAACCCCGTAGAGAATCTATGAGAGCGAACAATGCAGAAGAGCTGAAGGCCGCTATTGGCCGCATCCTGGTCTTCCATAACACCTCAGCAGTACCACAGGATGATAGCATCCATGCCACGCCGCACTGAGGCAGTAATTCATGCAAAAGAGCCCCATATGCATGATTATACTTTTCAGAGGGCTGACATTTCATTTAAAATCCTTCTTTTTTTATTGATTTCATGTAATATTCTAATTTTCTGAGATTTTGAATTTGGGGTTTTCATAAGCTGTACACAATAATCATCAAAATTATATCAAATAAAGGCTTGAAATATGTCACTTTGCATGTAATGAGTCTATATAATATTAGTTTCACCTTTTAAGTTGAATTACTGAAATAAATGAACTTTTTCACAATATTCAAATTTTCTGAGATGCACCTGTATACATACACAGGCACTGCGATATTGTACTGTATTGTTTTATATATAGGCCTACTGTTAATATTTTGCACAACTTATATACTGTATTTCTTTATATAGTCGGTATTTCTATATTCAGAACTTCTTTTAGCTCAAATTTTTTATATTTTTGATGCACCATCAGGATTGGACTTTATTTCGTTGCACTCTGTGCAACTGATCTGAATATAAGTCATACCACAAAGAATTTCCATGTTTTAAGGGTAAAGTCTAAAATGAGAAATGACACATTCTACCTCTTTCAAATGAAAAGTTTCATTTATAAGCAGTAAACCTTACCCATACTCTATTCAGTACAGTAGTTTTGCTGCTACAGCCTCGATTGGTCTGGCATGAGCTGTAGCATAGGCTGACAAATGTCTGCTAACATTAGAGCAAACTTTAGATAGATATAGCTGTGAAACTGACATTACTTTGTCATTTAACTGACATGATTCTTCTCATTTTATGCTGGTCTATACTGGTATACTATATTTTAATACATGTACTTACTCAATTACATTACTGTTGCCTAAACAAGGTTTTTGTAAGTATTAGTATTTACTATGTATCAAATGTAGGTACACTGTGCAAAATGAGTTCAATATTACCTATAAAGGTAATATTTCTTTTAGGAAAACACTCTAAATATCGTCAGTAGAATTATACAGTAATATTCAAATCAAAGTTTATTCACGATGTAATTACATTACTGGCTGGAGACCTACTGTTTATTGAGGGGACAGCTCTTACCTTTTTCACAAAGGAGGAGACAATAAAACACTTGCTTCATAGCCCTTTCTGTCTTTCCTGACAGCGTGGGACACTTAGAAAACTAATTTCTCAAATTCTTCACATTAGTGATGCATAAAAACATCTAGCTGGTGTGTCTAAATATATTGTAGTGTTATAACACAATCCTCCTCTGTCTGAATTCAAATATATCAAACCTTTTCTTAAAAAATATTTACAAAAAAGTCCACTTTGACAAAGGGAAGAATGCCTTAAGTTATGTGGGAACATACAGCTGCAAAGACATGATGTAAACAATGAGAGCTGTACGATGGAAATACAATACAAATGGCTCACCATAGCTGGACATAGGGACAGTTACATACTATAAGGTCTTACAACTGTAGATGCATTTGAGTGTACATGTCTTTTGTTGAAAGTAAGAATTTGCAGCTTTCAGATCGCTGTCAGAAATCTTACATTCTAACCCAAAGGTCAGGCTATTTTATTTTCCCATGTTGTGTCAAAGTTATGTCATCATATGTAATGCTAAGCTGCCAGCAGTAACAGTCCTGCAGCATTGAAAGACACTCCAACATCAAAGATTTGAGATAACCATTTCAGTGTGAGCCAAGGAAAATTTAAATCAACGGCGACTGGACTCAAAGATACTGAAAGTTTCTTCTAGTTGCCCTTGATGACCGAGTATCTTCACAGACATTTTTATGTGAGAAGCAACTGAGCTGGAACTACTCTTCACGACAAACATCATTGCTAGAGGTCTATCTTTTGAACATGATTTCCTCGCGACATTGCTTGTGAAGATGATGTTATGAAGCAGCTACAACTCACAACTGTGTACCAAAAAGTCTGTGAAGGTTCTCAGTCATCCAGGTCATAGTTATCCAACGAAGGTTGAGGTCAAGGGCAACTGGACTTGGTTGAAGATACTAGAAGACGTTCCGTCCCTCATCCAAGATGAGCTAGGATCGAGGATGATCGATACCGCTGGTTCGTTAGTGATCCTGGTTGGGATTGTTAGAACCACCCAAAAACCTCAATATAAAATTATTCTAATCATAAAAATCAAATATTAAAGTGATTCAATATAAACTGAAACGGATTACCAAGTCTCTGAAAGATGATTTGAATAGTGTATCGAAAGAAAAGTTAAATTTACCTACAATATAGGAAATTGTTCTAAAAGTGTGTTTCTTTGTATTGCATTCTGCTGTCGTGAAAACAGTCCTCATTAAGACCTGAACCAATCAATAAGACTAAAACAGTGTCAACAGTTGTTTTTGTGTGAAATGTATTCTTGACTTTGGAAATAGTAAAAAAAATGAGAGAATAACCCCCTGAAAAATATATTTGTTGTTGACCTCCAGCAGTGTATTCTGAGTGTCAGTACACTGTAACATGCTGTAGGGTGCGCATACAGGTGACATACACTGATCAGCCATAACATTATGACCACCTGCCTAATATTTTGTAGGTCCCCCTTTTGCTGCCAAAACAGCACTGACCCATATGCAACAACCTGCGATGCTCTGTGTGTTCTGACGCCTTTGTATCACAACCAACATTAACTTTTTAAGTAGTTTTACCTACAGAAGCTCGTCTGTTGGATCGGACCACACGCGCCAGACGCCCAATGACCCTGTTGCCCATTCACCACTTTTGGCTACTTGAACCACTTTTGATAGGTACTGTCCACTGCAGACAGGAAAACTGCACAAGAGCTTGTAGCCCTTGTCAAAGTCTCTCCAATCCTTACTCTTGCCCATTTTTCCTGCTTCTACCACATTAACTTTGAGGACAACATGTTCACTTGCTGCCTTATATATCCCACCAGGTGCCAGGTGCTATGATAACAAAATAATCAGTGTTATTTACTTTACCGTCAGTGGTCATAATGTTATGGCTAATTGACGTACTTCTGACTTGAAACTTTCAACCAGAAAGGACAGATAAACACTGGTTCAACAGCCTGGTGTTGAGCTACTCTGTAACTTAAGGTCAATTTACAGGCTTTTCCCCATCGCAGGATGAGCTCCTGATGAAAACTGTGAGATGGGGTTGAAACCTTTTCAAAAAAACTGATAAGTGGACCTTGAGTTAAGTTAATTTTTCTCAAAGCGATTTTATGTGGATTAAGACTTTAAATGGAAACCTGTTTTTTTAACCTCAATCCTGTTTTCCCATCATGTCGATGATCAATTTAAACCAAGCTTTACTGTCAAATTACTAACATTTACCAAGATGAGGTTCTTCAGTTTAGTCCTGTCAGGCAGGGCACTGGCTACTCCAAAACTCAACCCTAAAGGCATCTGAACACAAGCTTCAACCTTCACATACATGCACACCTTACTTTATCCATAACCTAATACTTTGTCTATTTTCCAGTACGATACAGCCCAGAAGCTGCCAAAGAGTAAACAAGAAGTATTAAAGGAATGGTGAAAGCAGCATTACAAGTGAATGAGAAAGGCATGACTACTGCTGATTTTCAAATTTGAACAGAATTGATTAACATCATTGATAAAAATGGGAAAATAGGAGATGAAACCTTAAAAATACAGTCAGACCAAGCTCGGCTCCATTCAGGCGTCGAACTCTCTAGATAAACAGATGGGTAGGAACCACACGCGTCCATTATCCATGATGGGAAGTTTTGCACAGAAAGCAAAGAAAAACAGGCACGTTGTCCAAACTGTGGCTGAGATGAACAAGAAAGTTCTCCTCTCATTCATACACACACACTCACACACACTACCCAGAAACAATGCTGAATGAAACCGGATGTCTGACAGATGGACGAGTCCCTTCCTATTCAGACTTGGGTCACAGTTCGTTAGGAGAGCGTGCCTCAGTACTCCACAGTCACTGCTTTGGTCTTGAGGTATTCCATGAGAGCATCCTCTCCTGTGGGCCAGACCAAGAACAAAACAGTGTCAAACAGTATACAAACCTGTCGTGTTTCTGAGGAATAAAAGGTTGCCAAGGGACAAATCACGAGATAAAACCATTAAGCCACAATACCTGATCATTATCCACATCGAGAATTCCCGCTCCTATCAAATTTTAATTGTTTCCATAATAACAAATATCTACATTTTCAGACCAGCCAACATTCATAAAGTTGGCTGCTCAGTGTTTGTCTTTGCTAAGTCTAAGCTAGTGGGTTCCTTACCTTTTTGGCTTGTAACCCCTTGTAAAGAAAATCATGACAGGCCTTGTGTAGACTGCAAGCAGTTTAACCAAATAGTGATTTTTCCTTGTCAGATTGTTTTTATTTCACTGATCTTTAGAGCTCCCAAAGTATCCAGTATTTCATTATTTTCTCAGACTTTATAAGCTCCCCCAAAGCCTGTTTCCATAGGTTGAGTTGTAGTCCTTACAACTCATGAACTGCCTTTTATGTGTAAAATCAAAATTTTCTTTATCTCAACCAATACATCAATTATTGTACAGACCGATGCATGTCTCTACTCACCGAGGTCTTTGCCAAAACCGGACTGCTTGAAGCCTCCAAAAGGTGACGCCACATCTGTCTTATTGTAGGTGTTGACAAACACTGTTCCTGCCTCGAGCCGCTCACTCACGTACATGGCCTTGTTGATGTCACGGGTGAACACGCCCGAGGCCAGGCCGTACTCTGTGTCGTTGGCTCTCTGCAACACACCGTCCACGTCACTGTGGTTTGGAGCAAGAGGAAAGAGAATACTGGTTAGTGACTAAAATCTTATGACAGCACTACAGCAACTCCAGCAGGATGCTTTTTTGATGACATACCCATCTTTAAATCTGGACACCACCATGACGGGTCCAAAGGACTCTTCTTTGGCGATGAACATGTGGTCCTCCACATCAGTGAACACAGTCGGCTCCATGAAGTAACCTGAAGGTAAATGACCATATTGATGATTAGCTAATGCTCACAATGATGCTAAAGCTTCTACAGCTCCTCTGCGTAAAATGCTGAAATAAATCAAGCCACAGAAAATGGATTCAAATGAAGCAAACACATCAGCCACGGTGGGTGCCATGAAAAAAGTATAGTAATTGTACAGTAAGTGTAATTTTGATAATAGGCCCTCGTCAGCTAACTTCCTTTTTCAGGCGGAGCAGTTATCTGTCTTCAACATCTCCCGTAAGTTGTATAAGAAATTACCAGAATGACCAGAATATTAGTCACACATTTACAATTTTTCAATACTCTTGGAAACAATAATACTCATTTTATTCCTTGTTAGTGCTTTAGACCATTGGTGAACTGGGCTTTATGCTCGCTAGCTACCTCACCGGCTTCACTGGCCACTGGACTCACAGGTAAGAGGTAATGTCCATCTTATTAGTATGTGGCTTATACCACTGTTAAAAATCCCAAACTGTCCTTCATAAAGATACACTGTGTAGTTGCGTAGGGGGGAGACAACATTATGACATTAGATATGCCTTTATTGAACAATTAGCTTTCCCTAAAACCAATGCTTTAAAAAAAAAAACTGTGCCGTATAGAGCTATGTGACACTGGAACAAACTTCCACTGCATTTAACCCAGATTATCAGTAAAATCACTTTTGAAAAGAAATTGAGAACAGCAATTATTCAGAAAGAAATAAGTTTAGGCTGCATGGCACAAGTGCAGTCTGGTGGTGTGGGAGCAGTAATTTCTGTATCACTTCCCAGAAGGCAGCAGGGTGAACAGGCTGTGGCTGGGTGGGTGCTGTCGCTTAGTATCCTGTGGGCTCTGAAGGCTCCTCACCTTACCGCTATCACTGATGCTCAGGAGATGGGTACCAATGATCTTCTGAGCAGTTTTAATCACCCGCTGCAGAGCCCTCCGGTCCTGAGCCGTGCACATCCCATGCCAGTTAGTGATGTTTCCAGTCAGGATGCTTTCTACTGCTCCTCTGTAAAAGCTGACAGGAACTTGGCACGGGCATTTGGCCTTCTTAAGCTTCCTTAAAAAATACAATAGTTTCTGAGCTTTCTTCACCAGCAGGGAGATGTGAGACGACCATGTCAGGTTCTCTGATTCTCAGGAACCTGAAACTATTCAGCTGCTCCACCTCAGCTCCACTGATGGAGACAGTCGGTTCAAACCTTGTTTTTTTTCTTCTGTTTTTTGGGGGGAGGGGGGACTCATAAAACATTTTTCTCATTGCACTGTAGGCTTATCTGATTTTAGGGGCACATGCGAGGGCCCGGTGTGGGCGGGGATGATGAGCAGACTGCAGTGCACACAGAGAATACAGTGTCACACACTTTTACTGTTTTATCAAATCGCACACTTTTTGCGGTTATGTAATCACACATGACAACGCAATTGCGATTAGATTATTTGTGCAGCCCTATCCAGAATGCTGATTGACCCAGAACCAGGAAAGAGATATTTCTCCTATATGAGCTTCTCTGCACTGGCTCCCTGTAAAATCCAGAATAGAATTAAAATCCTTCTGCTCCTCTACTAAACCCTTAAAGAGCTCATAGCACTTTGTTACCCCACTAGAGCATTGCGCTCCTGGAATGCAGGGTTACTTGTGGTTCCATGTCTCCAAATGTAAATAGGAGCCAGGGCCTTCAGCTACCAAGTTTCTCTCCCGTGGAATCAGGTCCCAGGTCTGATGTAGTTACTTTTACTTTAACACCTCCGTGAGCTCTTATTTTCATCACTGCCTCCTGTATTCTGTGTAAATCTGGCCTGACAGGACTGAAAATATGTCCCTGTGCTGTAGGTAGTCAGGTGTAGCAGCCATTTGCCTCTGGAGGCTCAGTGTGTATTCTACCTGGCCTGTCAACCTGTTTGCCTCCGTACACCAGCGTAGCTCCCTCCTTTAGTCCGATCTCACAGTACTCCAGCAGCTTGTCCAGGTGGGCTTTGTGATTCTGTGGGCCGTGGTCTGTGGAGCGATCCAGTGGGTCTCCAATCTTCATCTTCTTGATCTCTTCCACCTTAGAGGGAAGGGGTGGAGAAATAGAAACAAGATTTGTTAAGCGTAAAGATGTTGTTTTTGTTTATTTTACTCCAAACGACTGTATTAAATTGCATTATTGTAAGTGTAGGAGCCAGCTGCAGCTTGACCCACACTACAGACAAAAGATAGGATATGTTTTTCTTTTTATCTGCCTCTCATGAGTGCTCAAACTGTACGGAGGTACCCTTTTTTTTATTGCACAGTATGTACTATATTATTCTAGAAGAGGGAAGTGTCTGTGTTTTGTGTTTCATTCTTCTCACCTACAAAGCTCTTAATGGTCAGGCACCATCTTATCTTAAAGAGCTCATAGTACCTTACTACCCCACCAGAGCACTGCGCTCCCAGAATGCAGGGTTACTTGTGGTTCCTAGAGTCTCCAAAAGTAGACTAGGAGCCAGAGCGTTCAGCTATCAAGCTCCTCTCCTGTGGAACCAGGTTCCAGTTTGGGTTCAGGAGGCAGACACCATCTCCACATTTAAGAGTAGGCTTAAGACTTTCCTCTTTGATAAAGCTTATAGTTAGGGCTGGCTCAGGTGAGTCCTGAACCATCCCTTAGTTATGCTGCTATAGGCCTAGACTGCCGGGGGATTTCCCATGATGCACTGAGCTCCTCTCTCCTCTACTTTCTCTCCCTCTGTATGCAACCTCATCCCATTATTGCATGTTACTAACACAACTTCTCCCCTTTCTGGTAGTCTTGTGCTTTCTCGTCCCTCTCCTCTCTCCTCCTATCACTTCCTGCAGGTGTTTCTGGCTCTGGAGTTGTGGAGTCTGGATCTGTGGCTGCGGGTCACCTGCTGCCCCCGTGTTCCTGCTCGACACCCTCTGCTGCAACGACTATTGTTGCTAGTCTTATTGTTATTATTGTTATTATAATCATTAACATTACGATGGTTACCATTAACACTACTATAAATATCTGTACCATTTTTCATTTAGTCTATAGCAACATTACCTTCACTGTGTGTACCTCTGTGTGTATATTGTGTAGGCTGCCTCCCTCCCCTCTCTCTCTCCTTACATCTCTCTCTCCTTACATCTCTCTCTCTCTCTCTCTCTCACCCCAACCGGTCGAGGCAGATGGCCGCCCACCCTGAGCCATGGTTCTGCTCGAGGTTTCTGCCTCTTAAAGGAAGTTTTTCCTTGCCTCTGTCGCCTAGTGCTTGCTCTTGGTGGGAACTGTTGGGCTTCTGTAAATAACATCACAGAGTACGGTCTAGACCTGCTCTTTCATGAAAAGCGCTGTGAGATAACTGTTGTTGTGATTTGGCGCTATATAAATAAAATTGAATTGAATTGAATTGTTTTGGCTCACTCACCACTCGGCTGATGAACTCATCATGAATGGACTCCTCCACAAACAGACGTCCAGCAGCAATGCAGTTCTCACCTTTGTTGAAATACACAGAGCTCATGCCCTGTTGAGCAGCAGACACACACACACACACACACAGATATAGATGCACCTGAAAGACTTAAAAATCAAAAATAAAATAAACATCACATGTAATCATAGATTTTGACAGTCCCCATCCAAGGCTGACACAGTCAGAGCTGCTAGAGGCCCTCCTCCATCTACCGTGGAGGCACAGGAGAGTGTAGGACAACGCAAGATATTTAAAACATCCATCTGCGGGGTCCACGGTTGGCCACATTGCTCTTTCATGGCTGGTGCAAGCCATAGACTGTAAATGGTTCCGTATTGGTATAGCGCCTTTCTAGTCTTCTGACCACTCAAAGTGCTCTTTACACTACGTCACATTCACCCATTTATAAACAGGCTGCAGAGTCTAAGGTGCCATCTGCTCATCAGAAACAAAAATGAACATTTACACACTTTGGAGTTCAGTATCTTGCCCACACGTCGACATGCAGACTGGAGAAGCCAGGGATTGAACTGCCGATTTTCCAATTAGTGGGCAACCTGCTTTGCCTCCTGAGCCACAGCCACCCCCGTATGGAAGAAGTTGATGTAGCCATCGTGACATCACCTATTGGTTTGTGGCCTAACATTCTGAAGCCTCGGGTTTGGAAAATTGGCCGTTGGACAGCTTGGATAGCAAGAGAATCCGTAATTCACATTAACTGTGATATTAATTGGATTTCAAATTTAGTACTTATGGAACAAATTAACAGCTGACTCCTGAGTGTCTCTTAGGACTACCAACAGCTGATCAAGACATTTTTAGGCCACCAAAATGCTACACTAACTTTCATGAACTAAAAGCACACTGTGAAAGGATCAAAGCTCAAAAACACAGACAGCACCCAAAAACATGTTCACGGCTAGTTAAATGTAACGTTACACAGAGCAGTGGATACGATTCGCCTGTATCCTGACTGACAGGTCACCATGGTAGCAACTTGTCAATCACAAGGTAGCCACGCCTAAATCAAACCCGGCTTTATTGACTATTTTTTCTCTAAATGGGACCATCATTTACTAAATGAACATTATTCTGCTTCGAAGAAGACTTGAAACAAATTATTACGATAAGAAACTCAGGAGTGGCTGTGGCTCAGGAGGTAGAGCGGGTGGGCCATTAATCAGAAGGTCGGCGGTTCAATCCTGGAATGTCAAAGTGTCCTCCAAGATACTGAATCCCAAATTGCCCCTGGCGACTGTTCCGCCAGGGTGTGAATGTTAGTTTCTGTTTGAGCACTTAGAATGAATGGTGGATGTAGTGTAAAAGTGCTTTGAGTGGTTGAAAAGACTAGAAAGGGAAACATTAGGGAAATGTTTAAGAGGTAATAAATCAAATGAGAAATAGGGTCACTTTCTCAAAGACTCCAATGCAATCAGACCTCTTTTTGCAACCAGTGGAGTCGTCCCCTGCTGACCGTTATAAAGGATGCAGGTTTATGGCACTTTGCAGAGAAGACAGGCAAACAAATCTGACAAGTGCTGCATGGGCCTTTCCTAAAGTAGACCCTCGCCACTTCCACTCCATCAAGGAGTGACCTCTGGTCGGAATCACCCTCACAGGCAAAACGAGCTCCCTAACCCACGTAGGGTAGAAATGCAGCGGCCACCTTTCGGATGAACTACCCTCTCCCCCCAGCGTAAATAAGATCTGACGTTACCGCTGCACTCACTGCTATAATACGTCTATCAAATAAACAACAGTTGTATTAAGATTCAGGATTGATGTTGAGGAAAAGGGCGTTTTTTACAATAACAAAACCGAATGAACCAAATTATTTTGGTTAGATTTTGAATATTTCTTTAACAACAACAACAACTCTACTCTATTTCTCTACAACAACAAGAGACATTATATTCTTTTATGAAAAGACTGATTTTCAATGTAAAATAATGCTCTTTTTTTAACCTCTTCATCAAAAATATTACATTCACAAATAGCTTACAAGCATTATATGATCTGTGATCCCCCTGTGTATCTAGTTGTGTCATCTTCTATTCTTCTGTCGTTTAATGTAGGCTTTTTTGTTTTGGCTGAAGATTTTCGTATGAGATAGAATACGATTCAATGAAAACAACATTTGTATTGTCTATCAGACAAGAGCACTTTAACACAACATAGGCTTCGGGCTACGTTGTTAACGTGTGAATGGTGATGTAGGAATGTTTGTGTAGTTTCAGAATTTAAAAATCCTACATGTTTACGGGCGTAGTCACTCGGAACTCACATTTGAAAGAAAGGTCCCCCATCAGCAGGTGTTAGACACCTTCAACAAGCCAGCATCGGTGCTCACTTGGCAGTGGAGGGTTTAACAACCCACTACCACTCCACCCTCATTGGTTTCGGAAGGCACCCACCCCACGCATGAACGCGCGAATGGAGTGGAAGTAGATAGGGAGAGGGAGTAGCAGATACTTTCTTAAAGGCCCCATGGCTGTTGAGGGAGAGTGGAAACAGGTGAGCAGGGAAGGTGAGGTAATGGCATGGTTGATAAGAGAAGTGGTAACAGCTGTGTATGTGGGTGGGGCAGTCAGGTTATGTAGAAAGGACGGAAAGTTTGAGGGCATCTGGTGGACAGATGGAAAATGGCCATGAAAGGGCCTGGGGAACCAGGAAAGGCTGAAGAGGAGGAACAGAGAGACAGACCGTGACAGTATATTATAGTTGATGCTTTTATCCAAAGCTTACAATGTCTAAATGTCAGAGGTCGCACGCCTCTGGAGCCAGTATGGGTTAAGCGTCTTGCTCTGGGACACATTGGTAGATGTGTCGCAGTGGGAACTCCCACACCAAAGGCATGTGTCTTATCAACTGTCCCATCACCACCCCAGTATTGTCATTATTTGTTTATACAGCCTCCACTTCTGGGTGCATAGGAGGAGTTATAGGCGTGACAAATACATTAATGAACACTAAATTAACACTTACAACTACAATTACACACACACTTACATTATAATGTGTTCTAAATGTATTGAATGTTTATATATTGCTTATAAATGCTAAATAGGGGGACTTAAAGGGGCATTATGGAGTTTCCAGCAGCTGCTAGCGGTGCGGTTCTAAGATTGCAACCAGGCGTGTGCTCGTACGCGTGCTCGCTTGAATTCATGAGCGAGCAGAATCCAAAACAACCTGTGTCATACTGAAATACCATAATAAACGCAGGAACACCAGCATGCAGGCTGTGGCTTTTCACTCAGACATGTTCAGGCTCTGTTACTTCAACGTTCCCGTCTCAGAGGCAGATCGACACCGGCTCCGTAACGTTACTTCATTCAGTGCAGCGAGCCGCATATCGGAACAATCCTCCCAAAAAAAGGCAAAGTGACAGCGGCTATAGACAGACAGGGAGATCAGACAGAGCTGGAAACTCAGGTAAACCCCTACTGCAACGTTACAGTAAAAGTTTTATCAGCTGCAGGTTGAACTAATCCATGCTCGTTACATTTACTGGATTTAGCCGACGTGCTACATTGTTAGCTCACCTGCTGCTTTCAGTAACTATCTTTACTATCTGTGTATCTTTCAGCAATGTCAGCGCAGCTACATGTATTGGATGATAACGAAACGGTCAGTGAGCTGGACTAGATATTAAAACAAGATTGTGTCACTCTTTATGACAGTTAGACCGCAGTAAGTAACTTTACTGTAACTAGTGATAGCGAATGGCTCTTCCTTCCTCTGGGTTGTTGTGACTATTTTGTTGCAGTGTTTTATGTTCGAATAAGCTGTGTACCTGAGTAACGTTATTGGTAAAACCCACAGACTGTATATAAAAACCACAATAAACCTAAACTAAATGTTATGAAGCAAACAGCGGCAGGGGTGAGCTACTGTAGCATTAGCTGGCTGCTCCTGGCTGCATCACTATAGGCTAACGTTAGTAAACAAATCGATCCACATTTGCTTTTTACCGTTACATCCTTTCTTGCAGGCTAAATCAACAGGGTAGTAACATGGGTCACGCTAGTTGGTGAAGTAATGTGGAAAGCATATAACTTTGCGCCAGATAACATTAGGAGCTGCTCGGTGTTAGCCGGCGAGCTAACGTGACTTTCTCCGTGTTTCTCCAGCTTTACTAATGCTCATTGTGTTTTTACTCGACATCATCTGAACCTGTTTGGTCTGATGGGCTTCATCACATAAACCTTTGTTGTTGTTTTGTATCCTTACGTGGAGCCTGTGTTTTGCTGTGAGCCGGTTGTTTTATGGTGTTAGTGGACTGCATGTCGTTAGCTGCGTGTTGTCGCTGTAGTACGAGAGATGCTCGGGAGCGCGCACAGGGCTGAATCCGACCCAGAGACCTCACATTAAAAGCAGAATAGTGGCTGATGCAAGCAACGGAGAAAACAGGCGTGTGCTTCACTTCAGTGAGTTTTGAGCCCACTGAAAATAAGGCAATGAAAATTTGATTACTTTCATTGAAAAACTTACATATAGTCCCTTTAAGTAAACTATCACCATTTCCACTTTTGTTTTGTCAGTGACTTGTAGCCATGCTGGGATGTATCCCTGACACCAGAACTTCCAATCTCATTAGAATTTAATGTTGAACTACTCTCCATTTTTAGATCTAAACATGTTTAATATTAGCAGCCACTCAGATTAATTGTCAATCTTAGTGACCAGGAATTGAGTTACAGGGAAGTTTTGAGACATTTACTGTGGTCAACTTCAAACAAAATCATGAGTGACCTTGTTTTAGGCTAAATTATAGCAATCAGGTCATATAGTTTATCAAAACATAGACTTCCAGTATGTGTCACATTTATAACACAATAATAATATCAGTCAAAGTAGCTCACAGTAAACATGGAATTCAGCTTCTCTGTTAATTGAAACATTTCTTAATTGCTTCAGCACTATCATGGTGTAAAGCCAGCAAGTATGCTCCCACCCTAAAACAAAGGCCCCTCCCACCTCTCTGCGAGTCTTCCTATCTCACCATGCGAACAGCCTTGTCCATGTCACAGTCACTAAAGATGATAAGAGGTGACTTCCCTCCCAGCTCCAGAGAAACCTTCTTCAAGTTACTGACTGCGCAGCTGTAAGAGGAAACCAAAGAAAAAACAGGCAACAAGTTAACTTGGTAGTTACGTCAACCAATGAGCAATGAGTTTGTCAGGTCATACCTCTTCATGATCTGTTTGCCAATAGGTGTGGAACCAGTGAAGCCCAGTTTCCGGATTTCTGGGTGGTCAGAAAAACGCTGTCCCACCATGCCACCTGGAAGAGAGAGAGGAATTAGGAAGGTAGATTATGTATTAGTGAAGAAGCTTCCAAAGTAAGGGTAACAGAGTCAAAGTAAAGCGGCAGCCATATTAGGAGTTGTTTGATTTCTCAAACTGTGCTTGATTACTTCCTTTTCTGCCTCCGCCAACCCATTATTTATGTTCATATAGTCAACATACGATGTCACAGAAAGAGAAAGCAGTGTAAGGTATTAAAGGTGGCATGTGCAGGCTGGTGTTACTGTATTTTTTTCTGTCAATAAATCCCATCAAAAGACTAACAGCAACAATGTGTGTCCATCTCTCTCATTACATTGACTGTCTGTGGCTCTCAGCTGCAAGCCCAGTGATTCCTTCTAAAGACCTAAATCTTCTTCATGAAAGCAGCTCACAGATGTGTTGTTCACTAAAAAGGGTTTGGAAAAAAGTAAAAGGTGGTGTCAAAAGTTGTAACAGGGTAAAAGGAAAAGGACCCAAACACAGACTTTCAGCTCAGTTTAATGGAATTTAAAACAAAGTGAACAGAAATTTACAGCAATGATGAGACAGGCAAGGTAAAAACAGGAGAGCAGTCCAAAACTCAAAGCAAACATCCAGAAGTCCGGGGAGCGGGGGAATGGGACAGGCAACAAATAGGCCAAAATGAACCAGGGCGGGTGAAGCTAAATTCAGGCGAGGGAACAAGTGCTGCACTTAGAGGTGGTCAAAGGAGCTGGTGCTCTCAGCCAAACAACCATTGGCAAAGCTGGAGACCTCAGGGGCTGAACAGGTCTGGAGGGTGACCAGAAGGCCAGACCAAAGGGTCGAGGCCAGCAACAGGGATGTCGCTGGGCTGCTAACTGGATACAAGGAGCCGGAGTCAGCCGGGCTGCCGATGGGGAACCATTGTCTCTGGGAGGCACACTGCACAGTCTATGGATCGTTACTCAGCTGAGTCTTTGGAGAGTGGGACATCAAAGTCTCTGAGTAACAAAGTCTCTCTGGGACGCCGGGCAACGAGACCTCCGCAGCAGCAGCAGTGAAGGTAGGACAGCAAAGAGGTCGCGGAGATGGGAAGCGGTGACTTTGTGATGCTGGGCAATGAAGACTCTGGAGCCAGATCCAGTAGGAAACTGGCTGTTGTGGTGTTAGCTGATTGGCCATCAGGAGAGCAGCAAGCAGGTCACTAGCAGGCGGGATGCTAACAGGCCAAGATGAAGGGTGGTGGCTAGCAGCCAGGATGCTAGCAAAACATGCTGAGTGCTAGCAGGCTGGGAACCAGGCTGATTTGCAAGGGAACTAAGAAAGTCCGTGGCATAATCAGGCAAAAGATTCCATAGTCAAGGCTTTGAGGACACAGTCTTGGAAGAGAAGTTCTTCTTTATAATAAGTCTCTGAGCACTGCCAGCTCGCAAAACAAAACTGAAAAATTGTCTGCTGGGTCTATTTTCATGGTCAGGTGGTGTCAAACGTGGCAATGGGGTAAAAGAAATTTAAAACTAAGTAAACAAAAACAATGATGTATCAGGGAAGGGAAAAACAGGAGGGCCGTCCAAAGCTCAAAGAAACATCTAAAGGAAGAAGCAGGCAGGAATCGGGTGTGTGTATTCATGGTGATGAAGGAATATGTCACCCAGTGCAACAGTAAGGCTAACTGACTAACTACTTTTGGACAATGGTGGAGCTCTGTGGCTGAGAGTAAGAAGAGATATCAGACTGTGACACACACACTAGTGTTCAGTCAAGACCGCCCAAACCGAGACCAGGTCAAGACCAAGACCAGAGTTTATCGAGACCGAGACAAGACCAAGACTTTTAGGGGCTGAGACCGAGTCAAGACCAAGACCGAGGGAGGGCAAACCGAGTCAAGACCAGTTGGAACGAGATCATAGGTTCTTCTCAAATTGATCTGAAAGATCCACATTCACATTAAAACACCTACATACAAAGACTAAGAGCTGAAATCAATGTAAGCATCTTTATTCAACACTCCTCCCACACACACAATTCTTTCTTGACTTTTGTTGACTATAAAATATATATATATAATCAGACTTTCAGTCCTTTGAAATGTGCATTTTATAGTCTTTGAAAACTTTTCCATTCCAGACCAACATATGTTTCAGCATGTGCAAAGATTCCCTAACAAAGATTCCACTACACAAAATCAATGGTATTGTATTTGAAATTTTGTTATTCTTTCAAATGTCTGCTTTTTATTGTAAAATACTGGGCCTCTATAAATAATTCAAACAGACTCAGAAGGAAATATCACTCTTTGACTGAACTGCTCACAAATTAAAGGCATAACCTGTGACGAGATAGTTTTATTTGTTTTAACAAGCAATTGATGTTGGGAACTACTGGGCTGGAGTATAATCAGTTTGATTTTTTCCAGTGTTGACCATTGATTTCTAATTCAATAAATAATAAATTATGTTTCCTTGACCTCATGACGTCAAGGACAGAAATAACAAGTGGTAAGGAAAGGTAGAAGGTACTTCATTTGTGGACTATGTGGATCATGTATTTGTATTCATTACCTGAGCCTGGCAAAATGTTCACGACTCCTTTTGGAATGCCAGCTTTCACTGCCAGCTCAGCAAACTTCAGTGCCGTCAAAGGAGTGACCTGTAAATATTGCACATACTGTATTAAACACAAACTACTCTGACACTAGGTTTATTTGATAAGATAAGATAAGTAACTTGTAACAATTAGTTGTCAAGATTCAACTAACTGTAAAATACAAAAAATGCACAAAAAATGTGTGCCCAGATGACTTGTAGATGTAAATCGTATATCATCATTTATACAACAACTTATCATTTTTCAACAGAAATATATTTGTGAATCTCCACCTATTTGTGTTTTCTTTAGATACTGTTCTTCCATGCGATTGGTCACACACAAAAATGAAGTGCAGTGACGACCAGGCCTTTTCAGTAGATGGCAAGTAATGCAACATATATGGATGCCAACCGCTGTGACCCGTCTCTGGTTAAACTGAACAGAAAGCTGGTATGGCAGCAGAAAGCGCTCTGAAAAACTACTTATTCTTATCTCGAATCAGGGGGATTATCTGCATCACCAAGACACTTATAAAATTACTCTGTGTGAGTGCATGTATGGTGTACTTACCTGTGCGGGTTTAAGAACGAGTGTGTTTCCAGCTGCGAGGCAGGCAGCACTCTTCCATGCCAGCATCATGAGAGGGTAGTTCCATGGGATGATTATGGCACACACACTGCCACATAAAAAAAACACACACAGCTTTGCACACACATACTTAATAGAAATGTTTATGTCATGTAAATGTAAATGTTTATTAGTCAGAATAAAAAAAAAACATTGAAGATTCGATGCTTCGATGGGCGGAACCTGATTTGACTACTACTACCAGTTTTCCAACTCCCAATAAGTTAATATACAGCCAATTACAATATACATTTCAATGTTTAATGCTGTAAAGAATAAAACTTTCAATAAATGTTTTTAAAGTGTGTGAATAAATCCAAAATTGTAACCCAGTGCGCATGTGTAGGCGTAGCGTGTATGTGGGTAGAGTAGGGCTGCAACTTACAACTATTTTAATAGTCGATTAATCTATCGATTATTGAAACGAATAATCGACTATTCAGATTATGAATTGCAAAATTACACAATGCGTCTTATTTAGCTATCAGCTTTTAAATTAAACTTGAGGTTGTTTTAGGCATGTGCTAATTAACAGTCACAACAATAAAATAAATACTGCTTTCGAAAATGGATCTTTGAATGAACGTTTCTGCTGCAGCAACAGAAAGTTCCTCTGAAATCACGTCCTGATCTGAGCAGCTGATCTGCTGTTTAGTGACGGAGCAGTTTACACGCCAGTACTGCAACACCCCGGGACAAACTGACACCACATACAAAGAAAGGAATAACGTCAGGCATCAAATTTGCTGAATTTACAGGGGGGTCAATTATTATTATAATAATTATTAATTAACGATTTTATAATAGACAGCGTTTCACAGCGTTTATATATTTTCCCCTAACTCAACAACTCACTGATTTTTTTAAGGGAGTTTGGGGCGGATTAGCCACCGCCTCACGCATAGACAGGAGAACCGTTTTCTCTTCTTTAGAAAGTATGAAATTGTCCGGTGTTGTCTAATCTTGCGCACTTGGCAGCAACACGTTCTCCAGCTGGAAACGTCGCCATCGCCGATGCATCATTTATGATTGTAAAGTGAGGGCACATCTGGAATGTGTATCAGAATTATGATAAAAATCAATCAAATTGACTAAGGGAAACTGTGTAGAAAACGTTACAGCTCATAATGTGAATAACACGGCTTTAAAGGGAAGCTAGCTCGCTAACTAGCTGACCGAGACGAGTCTTCATCGTCCACAGAGCAACAACGTTACGTGCCTCCTCTTCAGATGCTCCGGTGTTTCCAGGAAAGCTCAGCCTTGCAGACGCTGCAACAACCTTTTTGGCTGCGTGAAGAGCGAAGTGCTGCCACACTTTGGAGGTTTTGGGTGGTGAAGGTGTTACTGCAGCGCTGATGTTGTTTTAGAAATTTCACTGTTCACATCACTTTAGTCCGTTGATGGTGTCGTTACAACCCGATGACGTCACGACCCGATGACGTCACGAATCGATTATTAATCGATTTTTATCGACTACAACAATTTGTTGTTGCACCCCCTAGTGTAGTGGCAGAAGAGGACTTGCTGACGGAGCTCCAGCTTCACTGGTGTTGTGCCGATTTGTCCGCACCTCGCGGGACTTTCGGATAATTTATCACCGTCGATGAAACACACAAAGAATATTTTATCCTTTTTAAATAGCCGGCTACTTGAAATGGACCCGCGAGGAAGTGCGAAGTGCATGCAGTTGTCGGCAGCACGGAATGCATGCAAAACTCTGCAAAAGACCGGTGAATGATAGGCGAGAGATAGAAAAGGGTCGACAAAGTTCAGCTGAAATTTACAGTGTAAGTTGAATGAATAGATGGCAGCTCTGCAGCTTCTCAAGGTTAAAGTGGAGCTACCGTGTGTAACCCCCCCCCCACCGGCTCGCAATCGTCGCACACACAACACACATGATTCGACTATCCATCCACTGCAGGCAGGACTTCACGACAGCCCTTAAACATTTATAGTTCAATGACAATATTACAATTATTTAGTAAATCCAGAGCTTTTACCCCAGAGGTTCTCTCCTAGTGAAGGTCAGATTGCGATTAGGCCTTGCTTGGTTGATGGGGATTGTCTTGCCCTGCCAAAAAACAGGTGTGCCTTTGGTAAGGTAATCAGTGTTGAACTTTTATAAAACTGTAGTTTGGTTGCCTTAATGTTACCTGGATCTTGTCACACCAACCGGCAAAGTATCGGAAAGTCTGGATGGACATGCCTACGTGTGTCTTGAGGGCCAGCGTGTACACAGCTCCTGAGTCAATGGATTCGATGGTGGCCAACTCCTCCTGGTGTTCCTCCATCAGGTCTGCAAGCCTGGATGTAGGAGGTCAGAGAGGACAATGTGACAGTGTTTTTACAGTGTCTTTTTCAGGTAACACTTCAGAAACACTTTTATCCAAAGCGACTTACAGTAAGTGCATTTCAACCGTGTGGATACAAGACACAAACTGCAAGAATCAACCACACCAACCAGCTGGCTTGGTTGTTACAAGAATTGGTATTTTTGAAAGAACTGTTATACCTACATTAGCTTTTATCCCGGAGACAATTAAAGTCAGAGAGAGAGTCTGACAGTGTGCCTGTCAGTAAGAAACACTTTTTACATCATTTCTTGTCATTTCCATTCAGTCACATGTGAGGCTGATCATTCTTGAGTGTGGGCTTTGATATGAGTCACATCATTTCAGTTTCCCCCTGAACCATTTAGCCTAATAAATCAAAATACACCATGATCATATTCTGGGTTATTCAATAATAAATTCACTATCAGAATGTCATTAAATACATATGGAAATAATTAATAAATAATAGAAAGGCATTCTGCCAGTAGAAATGAGTCCGTGCCTCTGAGCAGGACACAATACAACCGGAAAACACACAACTGAGGGAAACATGGATGCAATTAACAGACTTGAGCTCTTCCCAAAGTACCCTGAACAAAATTCTAAACGTAACGTGTTTTTGCCCCCATTCATCATGAGCTGAACTGAAAGATCTAAGACTTTCTCTATGTACACAAAAGGCCTATTTCTCTCAAATACTGTTCACAAATCTGTCAAACTCTGTGTTAGTGAGCACCTTTGCTGAGATAGTCCATCCACCTCACAGGTGTGGCATCAAGATGCTGATCAGACAGCATGGGTATTGCACAGGTGTGCCTTAGGCTGGCCATAATAAAGGCCTTAGGCTGGCCATAATAAAAGGCCACTCCAAAATGTGCAGTTCCATCACACGGCACAATGCCACAGATGTCGCAAGTTTTGAGGGAGCGCGCAATTAGCATGCTGACTGCAGGAATGTCCACCAGAGCTGTTGACCGTGAATTGAATGTTCATTTCTCTACCACAAGCCGTCCCCAAAGGCGTTTCAGACAATTTGGCATTACATCCGACCGGCCTCACAACCGCAGACCACATGTAACCACACCAGCCCAGGACCTCCACATCCAGCATCTTCACCTCCAAGATCGTTTGAGACCAGCCACCCGGACAGCTGCTGCAACAATCTGTTTGCATAACCAAAGAGTTTCTGCACAAACTGTCAGGAACCGTCTCAGGGAAGCTCATCTGCATGTTCGTCGTCCTCATCTGGGTCTCAACCTGACAGCCATTGAAGAGGAGTGGAGCAACATTCCACAGGCCACAATCAACAACCTGATCAACACTATGAGAAGTAGATGCGTTGCACTACGTGAGGCAAATGGTGTTCACACCAGATACTGACTGGTTTCCAGACCCTACCAATACAGTGAAACTGCACATTTTTTTCAGTATAAATAAACTTGGTGTAGCTTACATGTCATGGACAGCATGTTGTTAGTGGTATTGAAGAGTAAGGACCAAACCAGCATCCAACCGGACCCAAGAGACTTTTGCAGGTAAGTTTACATGCTGCTGCTGAGCAGCTACAGTCCCCTCCAAAAGTATTGGAACGGTAAGGCAAATTCCTTTGTTTTTGTTGTTCACTGAAGACATTTGGGTTTAAGATCAAAAGATGAGACAAGAGTTCAGAATTTCAGCTTTTATTTCCTGGTATTCACATCTAGATGTGTTAAACAACTCGGGACATATCACCGTTTGTTTGAACCCACCCATTTTTCAAGTGAGCAAAACTATTGGAACATGTTGGAACAGGTTGATTGTCCAAACATTAAATAGCTCTGCATGACTAGTCTAAGTTTTCATCCTTGGTTCAAACCTATAAAGACTGCATTTCCTGTTAAAGAGGATAAACCAACATGAAGACCAGAGAGCTGTCTATGGGAGAAAAGCAAGCCACTGTCAAGCTGAGAAAAGAAGGAAAATCGAGCAGAGCCATTGGACAAACATTGGGCATAGCAAGCACAACAATTTGGACTGTCCTGAAAAAGAAAGAAACTACTGGTGTACTGAGCAACAGGCGCCCAACAGGTCGTTCAAGGAAAACAACAGTAGTTGATGACAGAAATATGGTGAGAGCTGTGAAGAAAACCCCCAAAACATCAGGAAGTGACATCAGCAACGACCTCCACAGTGCAGGGTGAAGGTATCACAATCCACTGTTGGAATAAGACTCAGAGAGCAGAAATCTAGAGGCCACACCACAAGATGCAAACCACTCATCAGCAGGAAGAATCAGAAGGCCAGATTGAAATTTGCAAAGAAGTACAGAGATGAGCTGCAAAAGTTCTGGAACACAATCTTATGGACTGATGAGACCAAGATTAATCTCTAGCAAAGTGATGGAAAGACCAAAGTGTGGAGAAAGAAAGGAACTGCTTATGATCTGAAGCATCCAAGCTCATCTGTGAAGCATGGTGGAGGTTATGTCATGGCTTGGGCGTGCATGGCTGCTTCTGGAACAGGCTCATTATTATTTATTGATGATGGAGCAGCAGAATGAATTCTGCGGTAGAAGAAGAAGCTGCGGTAAAAGCCTGGAATAGCATCACAAATGAAGAATGCAACAGTTTGGTGATGTCGATGGGTCGCAGGCTTGAGGTAGTTATTGCAAGCAAGGGTTCTGCCACCAAATATTAAATGTTATTTACTTTAAGATTATTTGTTCCATTACTTTTGCCCACCTAAGAATGCTGTGGTCTAATACAAACTGTGATATGTCCTGAGTTGTTTAACACATCTAGATGTGAATACCAGGAAATAAAAGCTGAAATTCTGAACTCTTGTCTCATACTCATCTTTTGATCTGAAACCCAAATGTCTTCAGTGAACAACAAAAACAAAGGAATTTGCCTTACTGTTCCAATACTTTTGGAGGGGACCTCAAGAAATCTGAACCTGAGTGTTTTTTTCTGATGATGTAATGCCACTGTAGTCCTCTAGGAGGAGCAGCTCACTTGTAAAGCAGACTTCCTCTGTCTCTAGGGTTCATTCTGCCCCAGGGTCCATTATCATAAGCTTCCTTGGCAGCTGCCACCGCTCGGTCCACATCCCCCACTGAGGAGTAGGACACTTTGCAGATCACCTGGTGAAAGACGTAATGGTCAAACACAGTCCCACTAGTTAGTATGAGTGCATGAAACGGCTCCACAAACAAAACTTTCTGTGTGTGAAATCATATGTCTGTGTGTTAATGTGACTCACTGATCCATCAGTAGGGTTGATGGTATCGTAGGTCTTGCCATTTTCTGCATCCTCAAACTTGCCGTTGATAAAACACTGGTATGGCATTTTCACTGTCATGTTGTTCACTTCTTTGGTGACCTGGGCAAAACACAGCAATAACAGTACAACAACCATAGATCAACCAACACCTAGTGTTGTACATATTTTGGACTGTCACTCACTTTTAGCGTTGGGGTTACAAAAGTAACGCAATTAAAGTAATGTATTGCTTTTTGCTATAACGGAAAACACATAATGTCACTTTTTTTCTCAACATTTCTTCTGGCTGCCCCTAGTCTCACTGAACTAAAAATGTCCTCTATTTCATCACAATTTTTGAACTTATTTGATCAAAGCCATTTTGACCGAAGTTGATCCAATTTTTGGTCATTTAAAATGTATAAAAAGTATGTTTGGGGTAAGATAAGAGAGTAAGAAGAGAGAAAATAACATAAGGCAAGGCAAGTTTACTTCTCCAACATATGTCTTTATTACCCTTGGATCATGCGTAAATAGATTTCTATAAGTTGTTGTGTCTGTGCTTTAATGAATTACTCTCATGATCAGAGAGGCTGCTGTCAGTTCATCTGACCGATCCTGTCGCATCGTCGGGAGATTCAAATAATCAATGACGTTATGCTGCTGCACCTCGTGCCTAAATGCGCACAGTGTCTTTGTTAATGGGGAGACGATTCATAATATTTCACTCCCCCCCACCCCCATCAACCCCGCTATTAATCAGAAGGTTAATTTTTATGACAAAGACCCACCCCATCCAGAGATATAACTCTGCACATCACTAGAACCTACCTATGCAGCACATCTTACTATCAGAATAATGCGGCCATTAAATAGCAGTGACAGTAACTCAAAAGCAACGCAAAAGTAGTGTAAAGCATTACAGTTCAGACACAGTTAATATTGTAATATAACTAATTACTCTCAAAAGACAGTAACTAGTAATCTATAAGTTATTACATTTTGGAAGTAACTTGCCCAACACTGCTCACTTCAGAGAAAAGTCTGAGACAATAAAAGTGGGAGACTCACATAGTCGATGACCAGCTCCTCTTTCTGGTCTTCTCCTCTCAGCTTGCGGACGAACATCTGGATGAAGTCCTGGAAGGTGGTAGCCATGTACACATCTTCGGTCTGCAGCTGGACACCGGCACACTTCTGCTTCACCTCCTCCACCAGCCTGGACGCAGAGACAACATCAGTGCTTACAGTGGCAGGGGTCTTGTTTTCTTTACACAACAGCACCTTCACAGTAGTTTCTCAGGATCATAGAGGGTTTATAATAATTCATAGGATTACAGTTAGAATGTATTATTTATTCTTTTTTTATATTGGAATTATTTTATTCTGTTATTTTTGTCAGCTCAACCTTACAGCATCAATCATTAATCTGTGGTTGCAAACTGTGAAAATGGCTAGCTTTGGTTTTAATTGTATTATAAATGTGTCCCCAAACAATAACACTTGGTGAAATACAGTGTAAATGGTTGCCCTCTTGCTATTTTACTACTGGCAAACAATCTAATCATCAAGCACTGTCTTATCTTTGACAACGTAATTACAAATAAAAAAGGGAATGGATATTGTCTCAAAATGCTTTAGTGTGTCACAATATAAAGATCATAGATGGTTACATCTTTTAAAAATGAGAAAATGTAATCAGAGACTTGAGGCCCAAATATGTGAGATTTCAGATATGGCTCTAGCTCAGTGATTTGGGATATACTTGACACCTAATTAATGCTTGAGAATAAATGAAACATGTAAAATGATGACTTGTTGCCACCTCTGGTCTAAAATAACAGGTGAATAATTTCTGACCAATCACAGCACTGGCCTCCTCCCCCACCTGACCACATCCATAGAGGCGGCTCCAGACTTGAAGAAGTCTGTGGCGTCCTCAATAGCTGGACGTTGCTGAGAATGCTCGCCCAGATTTTCTGTGATACAAAACGCAGGGAAATGTTACAGAGCATTTCAGTCTGTACTATACTGAAAGCCAAATAGCCGGTTAAAAAGGATCAGCTAATAGTTTACTTGCCCTGATCTCCTCTGCCATCTTCCTCTCATCATCAGTCAGCTCCACACTGGAGCTTTCCCCAGAGGAGAAGTATTTGGAAGCAGGGATCATCTTCCCATCTTCAAACTGCAGGTTCTTCACCAGGAGCTGTGAACCAAAAACCGAGTGGATAAAGGACAGGAACAAGGCCAGAGGAAACAGGCTGTACATGAATTATCTCCAGCTGTGTTTGAATAACCCAGCAGCCATAAAACCTACCATATATGGAGTGCAACAGTATGACCCACAGAGGCGTGAGCGTTGCCACACCAGTCCAGCTCTATTTCTGTTTGCGCTGAATATTTGTTTTGTAGTACAACAAACTACAGAGACACTTACAGCTTTCTTATCAGTTCCATAAAGGACGAGACCGTTCTTGGTTATCAGGCCGGGCTGGGACGCCCCCTCTATCTCCAGGGGCTGACCGTCTGGTAGCACCGCACCCAACATGGACGAGCCATACAGGGTCACAGACTAAGAAAAAACACACAGAGAAGCATTAAAAATATTAAAGATATTTTGTGTGTAACTTTTATTAACCTGCAGCGGGCAAATTCTGGTGCTGGTGGTGATTACACATTCACATAACATTTTGTTTGTAAAGTCTTATTGCTGTAGGTTCCTCTCTTCGCTGTATGCAGGTTCTTTAAATGTTCTCTTCAGCTGGAGGCTAAGACCTTGAGAACAGTATGCTAGGAATACTTAGACATTTTGCCACCTTCTCACCATCTCTGTATGTTCCTGCAACAAACTGCTTTTTGTGACTATCTGCCAGTCTCTAGTCTCCTCTTGGGTTCTGCCTAGATCTCTGAAATCACAATAGCTACCTAGTGTGTGTATTTTCTTTCCTTGTCTGTTCCAGGAAACGCACCTGACCATCAATCACAGTCCAGGCACCGGGGACTTTGTCATGGCCGCGGATCCAATTGTGGATGGCCTCAGCTGGCTGGGCCAAGTTGACCTGAGGGACAGACAGACTGCAGAGTCAATATGCTGACAGAGTCATTTTCAGACCAGGTCCACTGAGTTTCTGAGAATGAGAGGGAAGCCCAACAGCTGTTTGTATGGTGGTAAATTGATGTCAATATCACTGTAAATGCACTATAAATGACTATAGGCCACAAATATATATTACAAGTTGTAATCACAAAACAAATAAGTCAAAATCCACAAACAAACTTTTCATAATTCACAAATACACTGTGTTCCCCAAATGCAGATATGACACTTACAGTAAATGCTGAGCATTCCACAGACAGTGGTTTGAAAATACAAGTTAGACTGTGTTTGTTTGCAAATTTGATATTTGTTGATAGTGTTTTATATTTGTGCATTGCTTTGGATTTTTTCTAAGAATCATTTTGACAGTTTTACCACGGTAAGTGTGAATACAATCCATAAATGTAGTCAGCCAATCAGGGCATTGCTTGCTATGTGATGTCAACACTTCTCAATAAGCCTTTCCAAATAAGAGCTGAAATGTGTCAGAACACGCACATGATCATCTGCTCGAGTTCTGGTTTGGATTTAAGGGGTTCTCGTGGTTAAGATTATGAGTGAAAGAAACACGGTTGTTTTTATTTCATGAGGTGTGATCGTTCTGAGTTTTTCTAGTGGGAAGACGCACAGGCGCCGTGGACCCAGATACGCCACTCCGAATTGCACTGATTAATCCAGTGAAGACTTTATTTGTGTTCGTGTGCCTCCATGCAAACTTAAGTGCTGAATAATTATCCCCGCTTCATAGTTTGGTGAAGGGTGCCTTTGTAATACAGTTAAAATGTCCATACTATGCACGATGCAGTCCCGTTTCTGCTCTTGTTAACCCATGTGCTATGAAAAGACTGTAGCATGCTGAATGTTGAATGCTGAAAATCTAAAATCTGCCACCCCCATACCTGTGAACTACTGGAAAGGCTATGGAGGAAAAAACTTTTACTGAGAAAACACTTCAGTTCCTTAACAGCAATGGCACTCAGTTTGGAACAAGATGACAAAAAGATGTATTTTTTGTCACACACTGATGATATGTAAAGGAAAATACAATTAGGCAATTAACATCCTATCATGTTCTGTGGCATGTATAAAAATTGCTGAGCAGGCCCAGCAGACCTTCAACAGAAGGGTTAATATTGCGGCACAGATAGCAGGAAGCACAAAGATGGTTCAACTGGCTAGTGTTTCAATAGGAACAGTGACTGAAGTGAAATCTGCATTTAGATCTATGGGAAAGACATCAGTAGGCTTAAAGCTGTCGCTCAGCACACTGCCTTAGTACACCTTGAAAAGCAAAATACCTCTGTCAGAATGTTTATTGATTTTAGCTCTGCTTTTAATACAGCTGTACCATCCAAACTGGTGTTAAAACTCAGAGGTGTTGTTCTGGGCACCTCTTTCTGTGAAAGTAGGAAAAACATCTAAATTTGCAGATGGACAGTATAATCGTGATGAAAGGGCCTATAGGAGGGAAGTGGAGGATCTATCCATATGGTGCCATGATAAAAACCTCTCTCCAAATGTCAACAAGACAAAGGAAATCATTGTTGATTTCAGGAAGATCAGGGGAAATCACATTCCTATTTCCATCAATGGGTCACCTGTCAAAATTGTTGATTGTTTTAGATCTTGGCGTACACATCTCACACACCCTCGCGTGGTCTCTCAACACCAACTGCAAGTGTCAGATGACCTAACAGGGCTCGAGAGGAGCTGGTGCTCTTAGGGGGACAGCCAGGGGGTTGGTCAGAGGGATGCCAGAGGGCTGGACAGGAGCAGAACAGGAGTCCTCGGGCAGATTGCCTAGGGTAAGGACAGAAGTGGAGCTGGTGACCTCAGAGGGGTGGCTTGGGACTGGTGCTGGAGTGTTGCTGTAGCTCAGGATGAACAGGTGACCAATGCAGCAAGATTCTGATACATGAAGGTGCAGCATTAGAGAGAATGACTTCTCTCTCATGTATACCAACATTATTATGAACATGTAACTTTACTATTATGTATTAACTTGTATCATCCATATTACCAGTACAATACTGTTTGCCAGTATTGTGTGCTTTGAAAGTGCAAGCTGTATTCAAACAAAGTGTTGACTGATCGTGTAGTAAGTGCTGTGTATATGTAGGTTACTACCCCCTCGCCCAAGTAATGAACAGAATGACAGGGCTGAACTGTATGGGGATGACACCACCATCATCATCAACTGAACACACAGTGTGCTTTCTTCTCCTGCAGACTCTCACCTGCTGAGAGTCCACTATGGATACCGACACATGGTCCTTCATCTCTGCATGTTTTATTTGTGCCCAGAACAAAGTATCTACCGGACCCAGCTCTGGTCTTCTCCTTCTCCTACCAATTCCCTCGGTCCCATATTGCCTTGGACTTCATTTTCTGAAAGTAATACGGTCATTCTCAATATCATTGATAAATCTTCCAAAACTGCTATTTTTTGCGCAGCTAGAAATACTGCAGACTTCCTAGTAAACCTCGACTTCCTCCGGCATGGCATCCCAGACATTGTGTCTGTCAGCCTCTCTTGGGGTACCTTCCTCAAAAGGCTGCACTCTGTTGTGTTACCTTGGTCAACCAGTCCACCTGAAGCTCCCCGCTGCCCTGGGTGGAATATGTACACAACTCCCTGACCTCCTTGGGTATGTCACCCTTCCTTTGTTCTCTTGCTTACCAACCTCCCTTGTTCCCTGCACAGGAGGAAGAAATTACTGTCCCATCAGCCGAGGCTCATGTACACCAATGCTAGAGAACTTGGAGATGTACCCGTTCTGCTCTGCACTTCTTCCAGGACAGGGAACCTGGCCAACTGCTGCTGCATCCCTGCACCCAACTACAGTACTTACTCGCCAAAAGGTATGGCTCCTTGCTAAGGATCTACTTCTGAAGGTTAAGTCTAAAAACTGTCCATCCTCAGTGTTTGTCTAAAATTCCAGCTTCCTTTTATATTCATTCTACTTTCCATGTCAATTAAACCTTTCTCCACCAACCAGTCGTGGCTGCGGCCTCCAGTATCTGATGGACTGGGAGGGGTATGGACCGGAGGAAGGCAGTTCTGAGTAGAGCCCGACCGATATGGGTTTTTGGGGACTGATGCCAATATTAAAGTGTAAAAGAGCCAATTAATAAGCCGATATTTAGATGTAGAGAATTATTTGGATAAACTACACTTAGTTTATACAGTAAAGAACTTACTCCCCAAGACACCAAGGACCACAGAACTAAACGACTACAGACCCGTTGTTGCCCTGACCTCTGTGGTTATGAAGTCCTTTGAGCGCCTCGTGTTGTCCCACCTAAAATCCTTTACAGACCCACTCCAGGACCCCCTGCAGTTCGCCTACAGAGCCAACAGGTCTGTAGATGATGCAGTAAACATGGCCCTTCACTACATCCTCCAGCACCTGGACTCCCCAGGAACCTACGCCAGGATCCTGTTTGTGGATTTCAGCTCTGCTTTTAACACCATTATCCCGGCCCTGGAAAACATGTCTCTGACTCCAGGACCATCAGCACCGGTTCCCCTCAAGGCTGCATTCTTTCCCCTCTTCTCTTCTCCCTGTACACCAACAGCTGCACCTCCAGTCACCAGTCTGTCAAGCTCCTGAAGTTTGCGGATGACACCACCCTCATTGGGCTCATCTCAGGTGGGGATGAATCCGCCTACAGGTGGGAGATCGACCATCTGGTGACCTGGTGCAGCCAGAACAGTCTGGAGCTCAACGCATTTCAGACCGTGGAGATGGTCGTGGACTTCAGGAAGAACCCAGTCCCACCCTCCCCCATCATCCTGTGTGACTCCTCAGTCACCACTGTGGACTCCTTCCACTTCCTGGGCACCATCATCTCCCAGGACCTCAAGTGGGAGCTGAACATCACCTCCCTCACCAAGAAGGCCCAGCAGAGGATTTACTTCCTGCGGCAGCTGAAGTGAAGTTCAGCCTACCAAAAACAATGATGGTGCACTTCTATACCACCATCATTGAGTCCATCCTCACCTCCTCCATCACCATCTGGTAGGCTGCTGCCACTGCCAGGGACAAGGGCAGGCTGCAACGCATCATTCGCTCTGCAGAGAAGGTGAGTGGCTGCAATCTCCCTTCTCTTCTGGACCTGTACGCCTCGAGGACTCTGAGGCGAGCAAGAAAGATTGCAGCTGACCTCCCACCCCGGACACAAACTGTTTTAGACTCTCCCCTCTGGCAGGAGGCTGCGGTCAGGACCAAACCTCTCGCCACAAAAACAGCTTCTTCCCGTCTGCAACTAGCCTCATTAACAAGGCTTGGGTCCCTTACTGACACTCCCCCCTTGCAAATGATATATTTCCATATTTATATATTTCTACATTTATTTATGTATGTATGTTTGTCTATGTGTAGCACCTTATCACCATCGCAAATTCCTCGTATGTGTAAAACATTACTTGGCAAAAAAGCTCCTTCTGATTTTGATTCTGATAGAACAGGTGGATATTGAAAGCTGGTATGTATGTGGACTATAAAACCTTTTCTTAAATGGATTACGTTAATGAAATAGATTACTGTCTCAAAAAGTGAACATGTAAACAATTGCACCTCAATAAATATTTGTTGCTGGAACATGCAACATTTTCAGCCGTCTGTAAACAGATGTGTATTTCACTTTACACATAATCTGCCATAATTTCAATGTAGCATATTCATATCCAGTTCATCCCTTTAACAGCACTCTTCTAACCAAAGCTACGAGAAACCATTTTCATCATCTGTCTAAATCATGCCGTCTATGACACAGTGAGCTGCCGTTGAATGCATCAAATACAACATGACTCTCTACAACGAGGACCTGCAACTTTGACATTTCATTTAACTAACGTTATAACTACAACCAGAACCGTTACGGCTCTGACTACAGCGTTTCACATCTACAATGTCACAAAAAAAGCCTGAGCTACAGGAAGCCATGTTATTTTCTTGTTCAGCTCACGTTTATTTACACGTCCGCTCTGGTTTAATCATTTCAGACATACTAACTGCAGACAGTCGGTTCGCAGATATATTTAGAATTTGTCAGAAACTATAGTTTAATGGCTCATTAACGTTAGCGCTCCTCCACTAATAAACACGGCATTAGCTTTGTGGCTAATTTAGCAACGGGCGGTGTTAGCTGCTGTAACGTTACGTGATTTTAGAGAATATTTAGAAGTGATGAACTAGGGACAAATGTGGACCGTTCACTAGAACAGCAACACTGTTTCAGAATAAATGTACAGTTACGTCTGTCAGCAGCTTCCAACACCCAGCTACTGTGACATTAACCTGTTGGAAGCTGGAAGCCGGGAGAGGGCAGAGAAAAATGGGAGGGTTAGCATGTCACAAATGTTTTATGAGAGGAGAAGTGATTGGGTCTGTTTTTAAAATAATTATTTAAGGCATGTAATTAACGTGACAAAAGACTGACTCACGGCTAACACAGCCCTCTCTGCGTTTGGTACATGCTGCAGTAAGCTCCGGTAAACTTACATTTATTCATTTAGCTGACGCTTTTATCCAAAGCCACTTACAATTGCTAAGTATGTCAGAGGTCGCACACCTGGAGCAATAAGGGGTTCAGTGTCTTGCTCAGGGACACATTGGTGTCTCACAGTGGATTTGAACCCAGCCATCACCACCATCTCCAGTCTGCTGATTGTTTTCTTCTGTGGTTTTTGTGGTGAGGCAGTGTTGTTAAAAGGGGAGTTGCAGCTGGTCGAGTGAAGGATCTGACTTTTAGGCCGATGCCGATTAAATGCAATTAGCTCATATCGGCCGATCATAGAGTCATAATAAATCGGTCGGGCTCTAGCTCTAGTAGTGTCCCTTATCCCGGATCATTACCATGAGCATGCAGGCCAACCTAGAGGTTCGTCAGGTGGTGCCCCTAGGAGGGGAGGTACTGTTATGCCCTCCATCTCCAAATAACCCCTTGCTCTCTCTCTCTCTGCTGAGCCTCACCAGCTACAAATCGTATTACCTTCTGAAACAGTCTGCATTTACAGTGACATTGTTTGAACTTTTGATTACTGCCTGACTCCCGCCAAAAAGTATTTCTCCTCTCCAATACCATTATGGAAATATTAAACTGTATTAGAAAGGCTTTTGTATTGCCCAAAGGCATAATGTGAAGAGTACATTTGTAGAAATTCTAATTTATAAAACAGCGTCAAAATTCTGAAACAAATGCAAAACAATCTACAAATGAGCAGACAAATAATTTTGCATTTTTTCAAATTCTGGTTTTCAAGCACATGTCACTGATTTCTTTTTTGTGGATCATGATGTGTTTGTGGATTTTGAAAGTATTTGTTTTGTGTTTACAAATTGAAACATATACTACTCATAGCATTTACAGTGTTACTGACATAGATTTTCTCCCCATATGGTTGCCACTAGCTGAGCGACACATGGAAAAACCATGCTGGAAAATAATCCCAGGCACTAATAATAGCACCTTTAGACAGTCTGCCAGCAACGTGGCTTCAAGTGACAAATCAGAAAGCAGCTAAGATCAACCCCACCTCTGTCTTTCCCCACCCAGCCACTAAATCTTACATATTTGGCCCTGAACATGTCCAGCTAACAGTAAATTTCCATGCTGTTCACTGAATGAAGGTGTTGTTGCACTTAACAGGTGTGCACCGGCTTTACAGAGCAGAACACATGCTGTGTATTTTGTAAAACTGTGGCATCTTGGGCTTCAGCACAATGATGCTTTCAGTGTTGTTGGGGTGTTATAAATAATGAGCCATATCAGTCTTCGATGTGAGATTTTTAAATTTCTCCTTTTTGGAATAATTCAGGTCACACACCCAGCATCTGCTCTAGCAGATACAGTATTTACATTTAGCAATGACTGCACGTTATCCAAATGTAGGGTACTGGAGAACTACTGTTCCTATGGATTTCTGTGGGTCAATTAAAAATGAATTATTTAAAGAGCAACTTAACAACCTACTTTTGCTTGAACACACACCCTTCACAAATCAAAAACAAATGCCTTCAAACCCATACACACCGCTTCCCACTGAACCTGCGGTTACTCCATGCTCACTGACACTTTCCCCCCCACCTTACAGCTCTGGAAGATCATTGCTAAAGTGTCAATTCAGCCATGTTAATACCTAGATAACAACTCTGATGGTCATCCAGAATTCATTGAACCATAGTTACATACTAACCCCTTATTTAACATCTACACAGGACGGTCTGAACTCATGTTTCACTAATATCTAATCCATTTATCAAACCTGAATCCTTTTCAGATCCTTAATTGAATCTCATTAGGTTAACTTTTTCAAATTTTGCAAATAACTAAAGGCTTAAATAAGTACAACTCCGACCTCTACCTTTTGATGATTAGCTTGATCATTTCTCTAGACAAGTTTGTTGGTCCACTCGCGGTCGTACACAATAGACTGAGACCAGGATCAATTTATGGCATAATAAAGTCTTATTATTAGTAATAATTTTCTAAAAAGTGGGTTTTAATGTTAAGTTACTCACAAGAATAATACTAATTGAAATATGCACAGTATTACTATAAAACTACAGGGCCTCGAAATTAGGTAAACAAATAGGGAGCCACCTTAAGGCCCTTATATCTTAGTTTGATTTGTGCTATAGTGGTGCATTTTAACAAACAAAATTGCAACCAGTCATATTATTACAAAATAATTGCTACACAGACAACCTGGGGCAAATAAGATTCCCTGAGGCTCGGGACAGTTCCCCACTTTGCCCTGATGATAATCCATCCTAAATGAATGAAAACGTACCACAGCATAAATATATCATATAATACAGTATGTGACTTTGAGCTACTGTCTGGAGTAAAAACTCTCACCTTGGCGTTTGATTTCTTCTGAATCCCTTCATAGCTAGCTCCTTCCTCTGTCTGGGGAACTCGAGGGGCCTTTCCATCAGCGATGAGTTGCACAGACTCCACCTGCACCAAGAAATTAGTGTGAGAATTATACCTTAGTCTGTTGATGACCATTTCAAAAGATAGAGGAGGCTTAGTGGGAACTGGGCACTATGGTAAAGGGTATGAAGATATATGCCTTGACAGGTCTTGACTAGTTGATGGATTATTCAATTTAAAAAAGGCTTGCTGATACGCTCCTGATTATGTGATTAAGAGTATTTCACCTAAAACTATTAAATTCCAGGTGGTTACCATAGCCTTGATGCCCTCTGGGAAAAGGAAGCGGTTGTAGAGTGTGTCCACGGTGTCATTCAGCTCAACAGCACACTCCCTCTGCAGCAGGATTGGTCCGGTGTCCAGTCCATCATCAGCCCAGAACACTGTGAAGCCCGCTTTCTTATCACCATGGATGAGAGTCCTTGTGACACACAAAAAAATCCAACGCACACTTGGTGAGGTGCCATGACATGCTTATTTTTAGAGCAGGTAGAGGATATAAAGTAGACCATAAACCTGAGCAAATGCAGCAGAAGCAGATAAAGAAAAGATCAAAGGTGATTGCACCTGGAAAGAAAGAAACTGAGGCAATCAGACTGCTGATAAGACTGGGAAACAAACAAGCTGTCTACCATTGGTTCTCATTAGCAATTGAATATATTCATACATTTATTTTGTCAAGTCTTACGACAGCAACTTTAGAATACATTAGTTTCACTGAATTCATAATATAGATAGCTGCCGAAATATTGATTTAACATATTTTACTTTACTTTGCTGTAATTGTTTTATGATTTTATTCATCTTCTGTTTTATGCTTCATTAAGAAGTGGCTGTGTAAATCGATAATGGACTGTTCTACTGTCGATTTCTTAAAAACCATCCCGTGACTCCATCAACCAGCTCCAGCCCACTAGCTCTCTCTCTGTCTCACCATCCACCCTGAAGCACTGTGCCGATCAGCTGTTTCTGGTATTGACAGACATCTTTAAGGGCCACAGGACTTAACGACTACTGACCGGTAGTCCTGTTTCTGTGGTAATAAAGTAATTTGAGTGCCTTGTGTTGTCCCACCTCACAACCATCACAGACCCAGTCCTGGACCCTTTGCAGTTCACATACAGGGCCAACACGTCTGTAGACAATGTAGTAAATATGGCCATTGACTTCATCCTCCAGCACCTGGAAGTTTCAGCTACTACTTTCCACACCATCACCCCAGCTCTGCTACAGGACAAGCTCTCCCAGCAGAGTGTGCCTGACTCCACCTGTCTGACAGGAGGCAGCACGTCTCTTCGACCGTCAGCACCAGTTCTCCACAAGACCGTGTTCTTTCCCCTTGCTATTCTCCCCGTACACCAACAGCTGCACCTCCAGTCACCAGTTCGTCAAGATCCTGAAATTTGAGGATGTCACCACCCTGACTGGGTTCATCTCTGGTGGAGATGAGTACACATACAGGTGGGAGCACTTGGTGCAGTCAGAACAGTCTGGGGCTCAATGTTCTTAAGACATGGTGATGGTGGAGTGGAGGAAGTTCAAGCTGCCAAGACAAGGATGGTGGCACACAGTTGCGAGCTTGTGAGTCACATGTTTTCTGGCAGCGTTATCTCGTAACTCTGGTCTGAAACTGAAACAGACGTTCTGGAAAAAATAGCTGGCATCCAGGAGGCAGGGGTATTTGCTTTTAAGCTTTTGTTTGCTCTCTGTTGAAGCACAGTTCAATCACATGTCATTTATACCGGGTTAGGTGAGATTGACAGACTGCTTGTCCAATGACTGAAGCGCACAAGATACGCAAACAGGATGCACGGTTCTTTATGCTGTCTGGCTGTTCTCAAGCGGCCTGTCTGTCTGTGGCAGGCATGGACGTCCAATAAAATCTGCAGTAGATAACTAGTTAACTTACTGCATATGTTATTAGGCTTTCAGTTCCAGCGGGGGGGGGGGCTAGCACGGAATGCTTGCTTGCACCAAACAGGTCCAAAAAATGCAGAACTAAAGCTGAGGTTGCTGCATCCTGATTTTATACCCTTCTCCCCTCTCTACTGTCACTCTTGCATGTGTCTTTTTACCCTTACTATTCATGTTCTCTCTGTCAGTCCCTTATGTATGACCAACTTCCTCTCGACCTCCCTCTTGCTCCCTCCTCTCCCTCCTCACGCCTCTCCTGATTCAATGAGTGAAAGACATTCATCTTGATGTTAATAATACACCTTAGTATCTGCATGCATTTTGCAGACTGGTTCCATCTACTGAGTTACATTTTTCTGTATCTGTGTAGGAGGTGGCATGCATGTACTTCTTTAATTTATTTACCTTTTTTAGTAATTTTTTAAAATCTATCTATCTTTAAAAAAAACAGAATGTGTCATTAATTTATTTTTAGAAAAAAGAATATGACAGATAACCAAGAAATTAGGTATAAACTGAAAGAACTTTCCTGATTATGGTCGACTGAAGTGCTTTAATATATAAGCTGCACAGTTCAACACTTTCATCAATTGTACAGTAAGAAGAAGTGGCACTGATTTTTTTTCTCTACCCATTTAGGGGCAAAATGTGTTAAAAGGCCTTCTATTGTATATATGAAATAATGTTTCAGCCATTGTCCCAACATTAATGAACAAAAATTAAACAAAAAGCAAAAAGCAGCTAGACAGTTAGGTGATGTATTGTCATGCAGTAAACAGAATTGACCCTCCTACTCAGGACCTGCTCAGTGTGTGATGTCAGAGGATCCAGTCTGACATCCCTCTGGTATCAAAGACATTTTATCTGAGGACACTACTCCCTATCTCCTCACCACATCAACCGGGATGCATTCTTGGGTCCAAAATTGTGAAAAGCAGAAAGCAGAGATATATTTAAAAAGACAGTGTGATTGCTTAATTGCAGTTTGTCTTTCTGTAACCACAACTTTCACTCAGTTCATAACCCAACAACACTTGTTTTTACCCCTTCAGCATTAGGGCACTCACACACCTCTTTCTCCCACCAACCAATCTCCCGCCCTCCCCTCTTCCTCACCAGTTGATGGCGGAGGCTCCTCTGTGCAGGGGCAGGATGGAGGGGTGGTAGATGATGGAGCCGTGCTGGGGGTGATCAATGACGTTCATGGGGATGAACTGGGAGCAGAAAGGCATGACGTTCAGCTCGGCGCCCAATGCCTTGTAGGCATCCACCACCTCCGGGATGGGTTTCCCCTTGACCCGCCACCGTGGGAACTTGAACACCGGCGTCCCGTCCTTCTCCGCTGCCACCGCTGAAAGAGAGAAAGTTTTCTGATAAAGCTTAGAAAGCTGCGGGGTGACGAGCTCCCTGATACTGACAAGTACTATTATTATAAAATTGTCATGAATTTCATATCATGCTAGCCAGTATATCATAAAATAGTAATTTTCTGTACATTCAGTTGAGATTTGTGAATTGTGAGGCTCAGAGGATCATTCACCTGTGAGTTCAGGTGAATGATCACCACAGGAAATAGCCTAGGCAATACTCACTCAATACTGAAACAGAAATGGGTTTATTACTAAGTAGTTTTTACAAATTCAAGGAATTTGTTTTGTTGATTAGGTGTAACAACACATAATACAACAATAGACAAAGATAACCTATAATAATATTTTATGCTAATACATCAAAATCAATATAAAATTTTATGTTGTGATCACTACTGGTGCTTTAGGAAGCACCTTTAAAATAATTTGGAACATTAATATAAAACCAAAAGTAGAATGAGTCAACAAAAGACAATATTGAAGACATATCTCAATATTATATTAACCAAATCCCTGATGATATTGAATATTATTTAATAATATCAATGTTTAATGTACTTATTGTCCAGATCCATCATGAAAGGGCTTTACTTTGCTTTTCACATTATAGTCCATTATGTAGCTACTGTATATTTTGTTTTAAAATATACACAATATATGTATATCTTCCACTTTATTTCATAGGGACAGTAAAGATTAGACAGAAAACGAGGGGAGAGAGGGATGAAGTGTAAAAGGACTGGCCCACGTCTGGCAATAGTCCAAAGGCAAAGTTCTTTTTACATTTCATTCAATAAATCATGAGGCATGTTTTTTGCATAATGATTTATTTACACATTTGGCTAGTGTTTGTGCTATAGGCCTATTATTTTAAAAACAAAACATTTCTCTAGCGCCCCCTTGCTATTAAATGGGCAGAATAGAATCTACAGCCATCCGTACTCCAGGGCCCTACACACACCATCAGATTAGCTGTAGTGTAGTGGAAGAGGCCTCATGGTGGCGCTATAATTAACAGCCAAAAAGTGAAAACTTTGAATGGTTGACACGCCCAAACTGTGAGTCCATTTTAATTGGATTTTGAGTCTGTACCTCCCTCCACTTGTTGAATGGCTAAAAAAAATCTAAACTCAATTGGGCTCAGGCAAGGCAGGATTTTGTTTATGACTAGAAATAAAAAACATAGGAAATAATTAAACATTGGCTGCAAATACTCAGGAAAGGAGGATGCCTGGCAAAGGTCAAGAGACAGCTGATGATGATGCTTCCTGGAAATATTGCATCATACAAAAAAGCCCAGTCTGATTGCAGACTTTTCACCTCAGAGCTGCATCTCCGGGCCACACGGGGCCTCTCCCCACACAGACAATAGAGCCACTATTCCGTTGCTAACGCAGGATAAAAGCTTGTCTTTGTCCAGGAGCAATGTAGAGACAACATGCATCTACCTCAACCACAGCACAGGCCTCTGATGAAGACCCCGGACACAAGATCAGAGGTCATCACATCCGAGATTTTCTGTCTCAAACCTGATCCAAAACATTTCCTCTGTTGCATTTTTATATTGTGTTTCATTGTTCAATTGTTAGTGAACCAGGTGTTAGAGCCTTTTTTACACAAGGAGGAATACACATAGGTTAACTAGGTCTGTATAAGTTTTCTAGAGAGTATTTAATATTGACTTATAACGCCAACAAGCTTTTGGTTTTGATCAATTAAAATTTGGGAAAATACTTTATGTCTTCGTTAGTTAATTACATAAAGTTACATTTCCTTGGCATACATGATAGTAAACTGATTATCTTCAGGCTTGGGACTGTTCATCCAAAAGACGACGATGAAGAAGTGACCCTGGGATTTGGGAAATGACAACTAATAATTAAACATTTCTTACAATTTTCAGACATTTTAAGGACAAAACAATTAATCAAATTATCAAGACAATAATGAAACAAATAATAAGTAATTTTATTATTTGCTCTTAATAGTAGATTTATAACACAATCTTTTATAATGTTTATCACCTTTTTATCATGTATTAATTGTGATTTGCAAGCTTTACTTCCTTACTGCTGATGATTGCTGGTATGTTACGTGTGTACACGCACTGATGCTATGCCCAAATCAAGTTCCTAACATACAAATAAGGTTCTTTGACTTGATTTGATTTTAGGTCTGAGCGTAATTTTAAAATATTCTATGGGATTGCAGAACACTAATGATACCAGTTTTTTTCATTTAAACTGAACAAATTCATATATTATATTTATAATGACCCAAATGACTATGTGTAATATGAAAGGAGTCTCTTATAACAACAAACGGACAGAGAATTAATATATTAGATATTAGATTAGATATATATAAGAAGCGGTTTTCAATCACAGAAGTAAATTCACTTAAGGTCTTTTTTTTGAATGGCAAGTTGTATTTATTGTTTCATGTGTCATTTTCATAATCATATTACAGATTAGTTAGTGTTTTAACGCATCATGAAGTTTTCCAGGTCAGTATAGAAGCTTCTCAAAGTGCCATTTCAGTCTTAAGTGCTGAGAATTCATGAAATTTACTCCTGCTTTTAAACTTAAGAATAAAAGAAAATTATCAAATTTCTTAAAGCTGAGAATCACTCTCGAGAGCTCGAGAGTCTCTCAAGTGGTTAGGAGCTGCCTGTAGGGCTTGTGATGGCGCTGTGGAGACAGAGACATGCGTAGAGGAGAGGAAGAATTCTGACGGGGTCGGACAGCGCGGGCATAATCTCTGTCAGCGAGTTGGTGAGGGACGTCATCTCACCACTGACTTTACACAGTAATTCGTTTTCAGCTAAACTGAAGCTGATGATGACGCTTTGTTTCGTTGCATCAGGACAAACGCAGCAATGCTGATGATTGTGGTCGTCACAACCATCAATAAGCCGAATAGTCATGGAAACAATTATAGCACTTACAGATCCACACATTGTTCCACAAACTTGTTTGCACAGCAAAATGTCGTAAATCAGCACTAAGACTGACATTTAAGATTTAGTCCTACACTTCACTTAAATTAGGACTATGAGGCTTGATAACTAACTTTTAAGCACAGGTTTGAGCCAAGAATTCTTTTACTCTTAAGTCAGTTCTTCGCAGTGTTCCTATGGGTAATTCTGGGAAGCTTGATAAATACGGGGCCTGGTCTTTTATAATAATTTATATTTAACTGTAAATCACTCAATTCGAAGCAGGAATTTAAGGATAATCTACATTTAAGGCTGATTTATAAAGATCTGAAAAAGAAAATCCAAATGCACATTGACTGTAGTGCCATATGTTCTAAAAAGGAAATTTTATATATTTTTATTTAAAAACAAAACAAAAAGGATGATGTCAGATATTTATACATATACATTTATAGTGTCAAAATGTATAGCAGCCAGATAGGAGAGACAATGAGCAACTTTCATTTCAAATCAAATGATATCTTTCCACATTTGTACAAAATAGCACCTGGTACTGACAGAACACACAAACCAAAAGATGTTTCTGTTTGGAAAGTTATCTTTTAAAATTATGTTTATCTGAAAAGTGTTTCAATTGTCCTAGCTTTCCCCTGGTGTCCCAAAGTTCTACAAGGTATAGACAAGAAACCATGTAATTTAACCATTTTCTAAAACAAGAAGAGGAGGCTGATTTCCACTCCCTCAGGATAACCCTTTTTGTAATAACCATACCAAACACGACAGCTTGTTGTAATGCTGGAGGGAGGGTCAACATGTGGCTGGAACAACCTAATACCACAGAGAGACTGTCAAGGATTAGCTGTCTATTGCATATGGTACTGTACAGATTGAAAATGTCATCCAAAAAGTTCTAGAGCTTGGGACAGGCCCAGAAAAGATGTCCAAGAGTCCCTTCACTCACCTTGCACTCAACTCATTCTTATGTTCATTCTTTTATTTAGGGGCTGTACCAGAACAGGTTTACATGGTTTCATTTTCCAAAAACGTACTTCACACTGCTGCAGCACCTCTTCCATCCTGTGTGTTGACTGATGCATCTCACTTCTACTAGATCGTTGTTGGGAGTGTGTGTTTTTGAGGGTGAGCCTGACTAGCCGCTAAGTGAGCGTTATGACACGTGTTACAGGCTGGACTACAATCCAGCTGTTTTCAGGTAGGTCAGGAGCAGTGTTTTTTGTGGAAGATGGGAACTCCCTTTGGGGTGGACTTATTCACTTTGCAAACCTAGTACATGCACAAAAATACAGAAACAAAAAAGACTGAGCCAACTTACACCCATAGAGTGTAAGTTGGCTCAAAGGTTGACATATTTTAGAAAAGATTTACTCAGTCCTCAGTTGTTTTACTTTTTTCTTGTGTTAACTGCCAATTGAACAATGCAAATTACAATAATAACAACAATATAATACAAAAATCACAGTTTGATATTAAAATCTCAATATATCTCAATACAGTAATAACCTTACATTCCCTAAATATTTTTATTTAAAATTAATAAGTTAACAGACTCACAATAAACACAGAATAGACTGTTATGTACAAAAGTTAACTATTAAAAATTATGAATTCTATATTGGCTATTAAAATCATTCTACTATCTACAATTATAAAATTACAATTCTGATCATTTCCAGTATAAAACAAATTTTATGTATCGCCTGTCTCAGCTTCTCACCTTTTAACTGCCTGGCAAGCAATTAATCAGCCTTGCCCCCTAACTCAAAATGCGTTTGTTTGAGCTTGCCAATATAATTTCCAACCTGCTGTCCAATATTTTGGCTATACTCTAATTTTATTTTCAAGATGGCGTCAGGGGTATCTTCAGAATTTGAGCTCTGGTATCCTCCAATGTTCATAGCTCAGTCTCAATTTCCGATAGACCCCTCAGACTGGCTCTTTCACTGAATGATTGGGGTTGTGACCCCTCTTTACAGCTTTGAAAGACTCCCAAAGGGCTGAGTCTGAGACCGTGCCATTGTCATTAATAACCAAGAAATCTGAAATCTTGGTAGATATATGATCACAAAAACATTAATCTGACTGTAGAGAAGGGTTCAATTTCTAATTGGTACATGAAGATTTTCAGTGAAAGAGGAGCTTGGTCGGAAACAATAATAATAATATTAATAATAATATAATATGTTGAACTAAGTATGTTTAACATCAATTTAGAGTCAGCTGGAAAATATTCAGTTTTAGAAAAGCTACCATGTAAAGGGGGAAAAAAAGAACATTGTCTTTCTAAAGGGTAAAGTCTCCAAACGTCCACTAAGAACAATAATTTCACAAGGTTATTGAGAACTGAGACAGATCTTATTGTTGGGGCTAATTTAGGTGCAGATCATGTGACTGTCAAATAGCAGTTAATCTCCGCCCATGATTATCTTATGGTTATTGTAAACAGCAACAAGGTTAAAAAGCATACAGAAAAAGTTAGGGTTGTCAAAGTCAGGGGCGTAAATGTTTAAAAGAGCTATAGAGAATGTACTAATGACAAGAACATTTCTCCCATCTAAGTCGGCATTGATCGAACCATGGATCGGAAAATAAACAGAATAGTTTTGTGAATTAGGATGGCAACCCCTCTCGTCTTGGAAGAGATTGGTAAACTCCTGACACCCACAGAGACCTCAAGCACCTCTGTACTGTTGGCTGGATATGGGTTTCCTGCAGCAAAACAATGTCTGATGACAGGGACATTCAGTGTCAGAGTACTTTCCCACTCTTAAGGGTTTCAGCAAGACCTCTACAGTTTCAAGAAGTAAAGGTGATGGGGTTCAATCCCAACCTGAATGAATGATTATCCTGCATTTAGAGAAAAGAAGAGTAGGGAGTAAGGGGTGACATGTAATGTAGCAAACAAAAATCTAGCATGGAAAAGCAAAAAATGGTGGTGCATCCCAGAGCCTGTCCACTAAAAACCAGCCAGTGTCGGCTCTGTATGTTCCTCCAACGTACAGGACAACAAACAGTTAACTGCATCTACAAGGACTGAACAATGATAAGTAGTAGCTGGGTCATGCACTGAAGATATGGTGAGGTGGCATACCGTTCAAGCAACTAGAGATAAACAGAAAGCAAAAAAGGACACAGAGCTCAAAAGTTTAAGCTGTTGTTGGTGTGGGTAGAATAACGTTGAGTTAAAATAGAGTTATATCCTGTTGGATAATAACTGTACAAGATAGATGCAGTAAATTGCATGCCGCACTTCCAGCCCATAAGTATTTTCATGCTTAGAACACAACATAAATACAACCTAAACTTCAAAGCACTACATTTCAGCATGAAACTTAGCGCCACATAAGATGTTGGCATGAGCAACAAGTGGCATATTTCAACCATTACGTTTTGACTGACAGGGAGTTGGCAAACCGTTCAGCACCAGCTGATGACGTTAACTGTGTTGTTGTAAGCAATGTGGAGTTTGGCTGTAGTAGTCAGGGAACATGAGCACTTTTGTATCATGGAAGGACAGTGGTGCACGCTGACGGCTGACCCGAAGAATGTTACTCAAGTTGCGGTCATTTTGGACTTTGGCAATGATGACTCGTGGTCGCTGGTTTGGTGATGATTTGGGTCTTAAGCTGGCGGTGGGCTCTGTCTTTTTGACAAGTCTGCTGAAGTTGTCTTGGCCAAGCAACAAATTCCGTAGGACGACCGTTCTCTTCCCCCTCTTTGATGCCCACAATCCTGATGCTAAGTCTGCAAGAGCGTCCCTCCAAACCATTTAGGTCTGAGAAGTCAGCCACCTGCTCATTGCATGTGACCAGTGTTGTGATGCAGTGGTCAGCAGTCGAAAGGGCCATGTCCAGCCCACCCATGTGGTTCGGTTTTGTGGTGGTTTTTTTTGAAGGGAAGACAGACATATTTCAATTGAATTGAGGAGTCCCTCCACTGACTTCTTCCAATCATCCGCAAGTTTAGAAACGTTTGATAGCTCAACTCCTTGCTTAGTAATAGCAGCTAATATAGCCTTGTTGCTAGTTGCAAACGATCCCACCTGGGATACTGCTTTCCGGCTTTGGCTGTCGTCTTTCTTGGGCATAATGGTGTGCAGTCAGGTCCGACAGGTTGCAATGCAATTCAGGTAAGTGAAAAATAATGGTCAAGTGCAATATTTAAATCATAAAGTGATGGAAACAACACGGAGCTCCAGCAAAACACGGCCACTCAGTGCGCACAAGCACCGCACTAGCACCACTTAATGATAACTGTGAGTCCAGGTACATCGTAACACCATCAGCAAACCCGAGAACAATATGCACAGTGCACACACACTAATCTGCACACAGCCTGGTGGTGCACAAATCAGAGAGAAATTTAGAATGAACTTACCCAGGGGGTCGGCCTTGCCATCCTTGTCGGGGACCGTGAACACACCCACCACCTTGTGCCCCTGCTTCCTCAGGTTGCTGTACACCTCCTGGCCGAACACACTCTGGCCAATAATAGCTAGTTTAAGCTTATTCTGGTAATAACGCTGCAACAAGAGCAAACACAAACATTTGTTTCAGCTTTACCCAGTGTAAATCTGCTGTCTCTGATGTCTCATTCACACATCTTCATGTGTACCTAGAGTTTTTGAATTGGCAGTTTTGTTGGACATGTATTTATTCAAAACTTTAAGTGACACTGAGGCTACATCATTTATTTACAGATTAATTGATTATTCATTATTGATTAAATAGTCACGTCTTCATTTTTATAATTGCTTGATCTTTGGTCCACAAAATGTCAGAAAATATGTTATCAGATGTCTTATTTTATCTAACCAACTCTCTAAAAAAGTTATTACATTTCTATGTATTCTAATTTATAAAGACCAGCAGTCAAATTCTCACATTTGAGAAACTGCTTGATATATAAACAACTAGACAATTATCAAAATGGTTGGTCATTCATTTTCTCATTAAATTATCAACGAATTAACTAATTGATAGAACATTATTATTTACTATAAAGTGAATTACAAAGCATGAACCAAAGCGCTAGGGCTGGGATTCAGGGGGGCCATTTTCGCCTTTCCCAGGGCCTCCAAATCAGTAGGTTTGCCCCAGGTCAGTGGACATTTAAAAGTTTAAAGGCAGCTCTGAGGAAACCTGCTGTCTGACAGCATGAGAAGAGTGTGACAGGAGCAGCACATGTGAGGAGGAAGGGTTCAGGTTTCCCGTGCTCAATAGAATGGTCCTGTCCTGTCCATGCATGAGGCGCCCTCTCATTTTGCAACGTGCTTCATGATGCATTCAAAGCCCTTCATTCCATCAGCTGCCTACAGTACAGTCGCTGACCGTCTACAGTGTGGAGCTCAGAGGCTGATGCAACTCCTCCAGATCTTGTACAGTGAAGGCCAGTACGGGGAGTGGGGGGGTGGACAGTAACGTGGCAGGCTGACACTGATGCACCATCATAGGCTCTGTTTATTCAAAACGCAGTAAATACAGTAGCAGAGAGACCTGCACATGAACTGTGCCTATGACTCATTGATCCGCAGTCAGAGCCGAGTCTGGCTCAGTCTTCCTCATGTCACCACCACGCGCTCACTATTCACCACTATGTTTTTTTTATCAATGCACATGAGTAATATAAGCACTATTCATTCTGCGGTGCAACAAAAAAATACGTTACTCACGGACGAGGTGGAGAATTTCCTTAAGACTTGGCTCGCCGTCCACAGCATGATGGCGGTGTTACTACGTTACAAAATAAAAAAAATGAATCCTAACAGTGCAGAACGGATCCGACCTGCTGTATCCGAGGTATGTGCCACACACACCTGACAGTGTGTGTGCTCGGTGCTCGCCACAGCCAGCTTATACTCGACAGCAGCAGTCCGACTACGTGCTGCCTGGCATTGTACGTGCGCGGCCACGCGGGGCTTACTACCTGCTCAACCGCGCGGTAACGCGCATAGACTTCATATAATTGTGAGGCCGTACTGATTGTAGCTAGCAGCTTTTTTGTTTTATTGCTTTTATATTATGTGTTACGTTGTGTTATATTATGTGTAACTTTTAGACGCGCGCTTAATTCAAAATGTTAATAGATATTTAAATTGGATTTAGCCTAAAATATTCATATGTAATTTGTTCAATAACTTATTCGGCAAGATCACTTTTATATACAATATATTTTGGATTGTATAAAGTGTGTATGCAGTGTGTGTATATTATTACGTCTATGTAAGAAAGTGACTGATTCTACTTTTGTTGAATTTTTGTTCTTTACATGTGCTGCTGTGCCAACACGAATTTCCCTAATGAGGCATTAATAAAGTAATGTCTTATCTTATACTGATAATGCAAGCATTATGAATTGGTAGCCACTAGCCATTGTTTGCTAACATGCTAACAAATGACTGTAGCCTAGGAAGAGCAGAAGTCGACCTAGTGATTGTGGATTAATGTATTTTGGTGATGCAGGGGCCTACCATTGGACATTTTTGTCATTTTTTAATTGCTTCATAAAGTAAAGAATGTATTGTTTTGTAACTGTTAAGATTAAAGGTTGACTTGAGCTCAGATGTCATTCTGCAAACGTACAGTCCCCTTCTGCACCACCAAGTGTTTGTTAAAGTAATACCATAATTTTCACTCTGCAACATACATACATATATATATATATATACTTTTAAGTAAGCTGGCGCTGTATTTTATCTGTCTTTATATTGAAATTCTAAAGATCTAAGGTTGACTTAGGCTCAGATATCCTGCTGACAAAAAAAGAATGCAGTGTACGTCTGCACCACTTGCATAGCTCTTCGCAGCATTCACCTGCTGCACACCTGCCCACGCTCCCACACAGAAGCGCTGATCACAGGTTTCTGTGGAGCAAAGGCTTAAACTATTGGTTCACAAGCTGCAGGGAGGCAGGGCTGTGACATAGACACACACTTGTTCATGTCATCCAGAAAAAGTAGTAGGAAGCACCTTCTGGGTCTCGTTCAACGTCCACTGTTCCCAGTAGACTGAATAACTTCCTGGCAATTACTGTTGCATTTATTCCACCCTTTGGATGTCCCTTTATCCCATGAGGTAATACAACTACTCATAAATTAAATTATTAACTACAAATTAAGGTTTACAGAACTTTTATAACAGGTGTGGTCCAAAATGTTATAGAATCAATCCTATTAGAAGAATACCAAATTTACCTAAAAGGCAAGAAACACCAAGCACCACTAACAAATGAATCACACTGACGAGATCTAATACTGATACCTGCACCTGCTCATTATACCTGCTCATTTTCTCACTTGCCTCTTTAATGTGTATTTGAGAAAACACAAAGGATCCAAAAAAAAAACCAAGGGAGCAGCTGTGATTTATTTGTGAATATATTCAACAACATCAAAAAGAGGACTAAAGGTAAGAGCACTGGTGGTGGATGTTGCTCGGGTGGGAGTGGGGGGGGTCCACCTCTGCTGCCATCCCGAGAGATCAACCCGCTGTACTTCACATCAGACAACAATGTTTGAGCTGCTTTGGCATGGGGGGTTGATTCCCTTCGAACACCGCTGCTTTGATTAAAGCACTGGTTTCTCTGGGGTCACTCCCCGGCTGCTGCTGCTGCACTCTCTCAATCACTCAGTGTGACTTAACAAAAGTCATCAGGTCAATAGGCTGTTAAAACTGGCAAACAATTATTAACAAGCCGTGCTCCTGGACAAGAAGCATGGAAGGCAAACATGGAACGTGCCAAAAATCTCTTTAACATTCTGGAAAATAAGTTACTTTATATCACCACAGCAACACACTGGGTGAAATCACTAGTAGATGACTTTTCCACAGACAAGGTGCCAGTGCTGGAGACAAACCAAGGAAAGAGAAAACAGTGGTTTCAATCGAAACAAAATCAAGATTCACTAGAGAAAACCTGCTGACATGTTGGAATTTGTAAATGCTTCTCTATGACTGTATTGCTGCCATAGGTATCATTATGTCTTGGGGCTGCTGCTAAAGAAATCTTATATCTGGTTACTTTTGTCTCTCAAATGGGTGAAAGCCCGTTCAGTTTTTACTGTAAAAAGTTTCACTAGTTTTATGTCCCTGCACTTTTCAAAAGCCTAAAATGGTGCATATCAAAGGAGGGTTGGGGGGTCAGGACACAGGACTCATGCTAGAACAAGTTACAGGTGACAAACAACAAGACGGTCTCCCTTTTCACATCACAGCCTCTGCTGGAGTACTGAGGGCAGCGGAGTGATGAGGTCACAGGAAGCGAATTCCTGCTCCAAACTGGACACCGTCACATATCCTATGAGATGGGAGAAGACAGAAGACAAGTTAGGAACTATGCTGTCAGAAAAATCCTTATATTACATAGTGCTATATGTAACATTGAGGTTTTGAAAATGAAATGAGTACTCCACCGATTTAGTATTGCACTCACAATGGTGTCTGACTTCAATGATTTAAAATTCGGGGTTCAGTATCTTGCCCAAGGACACTTCGACACGCAACCAGGGGGAGCCAGGGATTGAACCGCCGACCTTCCGATTCCCACAAGTTACCCCAAGTTACCATTTGCTATTAAGCACTTTCTCTCTTATGCCATAACTTGCTAATATGCATAGGCTATGTCTTAAAACTGTCAACAATATCACCTAGGAGCTATGTCAGGCTACTGGTCTTGTACCGTGATCAAAGTGAGGATAATGTTGCAGCGTGTAGCCTCTCGTTATGTACTGCCGCCTTCAGCAATATCATTAATTAATTTTACTTCAGTCACAGATGCTGACACCCTCGCCTTAATAAAGGCAAAGATCCAGCTGGATAACCTCTAACCTGGTGGATGTTGTATAATATATTCCACCGTGTTGTCCACCTTTAGATGGTCTGCATTACAACAACATGGGGCGCAGTGTCAAAGATGCGCTTTTTGTAGTCAATCTTCAGAACATTGTACTGTAGTTTCATCACGGCAGGCCACGTCAGTAACATCCGCCGTCGCATAATTACGTCGCCTAGAAAAGAGCAGTCAGATTTCCTTTTCCTAAGTCCTTACGGATTCTCCTTCACATGTTTGGGTAGGAAAGGAGATTTTTTTTTTTACTTTTGGGACGCAGCCCTTGACTCCTCCCGGTGAGTCTTAGTTCCTCCCACCCGAGATACGAGCTCGAGGAGGAGACGCGAGGAGAGAGGAGTCGAGGAAACAGGCATTTAACGAAAGAGATGTCACTTCCTCGCAGCAGTCATTTTAAAGCGGCGTCAATTAAATATGACATGTTGCACCGCTGTATCGTCTGTCCGCGGTTTCAGCTGTGATCTCAGATGAGCAGACCAGCTTTTGGCACTAAAGGCTACAGATTATAGGCCATCTTCACTATCCAGAAACATGTCTGTCAACATTATAACGGTCATCGCAGGACTCTACTGTTGGAATGATGTGAGCAGACAACATGGGCACTACTATTATAATGTTTTTTTGTGACAGTGAGTAAAAAAATTTGATCAGTGAACCTTAGTCCTGTAACATGTAGAAGTGTAAATGAATAGCGGTCTACCTGTCTCCGCTCTGAACCCCCATGGGCACACAGTAGTTGAGCTCCAGTCTGGCAATATTCCCAAGCCGTAGCACAATTCCCGCTCCGTACGACCAGCGAATACACTCAGCTAGCTTCTGAAGGTGCGCCCGGGGACCATCACCTGCACACACAACAATCTCAACATGTTGTATATTTTATTTATATGAGATTTTTGCTGACTTTTTTTTAAACCAAGCAGGTATGTAATGCATCTAGTACTATTCCACCCACCATAGTTGAGGTTGCAGAGGTTGCCTGCGTTGAGGAAGAAGTGCGTTCTGAAAAGGTCTCCAAAGCCGCCCTTGCCTGGTCTGAAGGGCAGCGGAGTGTAGAGGTGCAGACCACCTGCCCAGTATGCCTCTCCACCCAGATAGTCACCTGGAACACACAGAAAGAGTATTAAACCAAGATAAGCTGATGTTCTACTCCACTTGATGGTACATACACACTTCTCTACTGTGTAGATCTACATTTAGCTGACACTTTTATTCAAAGCGATTATATATATATATATATATATATATATATATATATATACACACACACACACACTAGGGGTTTAGTGTCTTGCTCAGGGACACAGTGGTGGATGTGTCACAGTGTCTTATCCACTGTCCCATCGCCACCCCATATCCATGTTAGCTTTAGCTCCCTGCTCATTTATGTACCTTTTTTTTTTTCCTCTAAGCTTTTTTTGGTATGTTTTCTAATTAGATGGTGATAGTGGGGATGCAGACAGGAAACAGAGGGGTGTTGGGGGTAGGTTGGGTTATTAGCTGAATACCAAAGATATTCTAGAAATATTAATAACATTATATATTCTTTAGTTCAAGTTTTCTATGATTGATTCAATGATTTGAATATGTTGGGGTTTTTCTACCTTCACTCTGTGGCCCAATGCTGTACATCCCAAATCCTCGTACACTGGTGGGACCCCCAAGGTAGAACCTGGACAGAAGACATAACCATCATCGAACCATCCACTCAAAATCCCAAATCTACAATTTGGAAACAGTGAGGTCATTAATAACACAAAGTTAAAGCAAAAACACTACTCAAACAAGAAAATGGAAATATTTGGGTGACCAATCATAACTAATGAAATTGGTCAGTACACGTAGAACTTCTTAATGACAGCCTTGGTCAGCACTAAG